ATGACCAAGGTTCACATTTCACATTTCACATTTATCCTTCCTGACACAAAGGCCATACTCTTCTAGCCTCTGAAGAGTAGCATCCAGATTTCTAAGGTGGTCGCTGTCATCCTCGCCTGTGATCAACAGGTCATCCAGATAGCACTGTACCCCTGTTAGCCCACTCAGAATTTGATCCATAGCACACTGAAATAAGGCAGGCGCTGAGGAAATCACGAACGGAAGATGCTGGTACGTGTATAATCCCTTATGCGTCACAATCGTTAGCAGTTCTTGTGAGTCTGGGTCAACGTGCATCTGTAAATAGGCCTGACACAGGTCTATCTTGCTGAATTTCTGTCCTGAAGAAAGGCCTGAGAACAGGTCATCAGTCAGTGGCAGTGGATATCTTTCAGTGGCTAAGACTGGATTCACTGTGACTTTAAAATCGCTGCATAGTCTAATCGAGCCATCTTTCTATATGACTGGAACGACTAGTGTAGCCCAATCACTCACACTTACTGGTCGTAGTACCCCAGCTTCAACAAGGCAGTTCAACTCTGCTTCAACCTTGGGTTTGATGGCATATGATCTAGCCTTTAAAAATTTTGTTTCTTGTTTCATCATGTAAAATTACATAATAAACAGATTTTCATTTAAATGTCCAACTTCATACTTTGACTTTAATTTATTAAGACATGGCCTCCAGTGATGTTTGGTAAAATAATGCTGTACAGCTGTCTCATGTATTTCAAGGGTTTCAAACAAACAAACAAAAACAAAACAGCACAGTTCATTCAGTAGAGCAGAGCGGCGCGAACCAGAAAAACAAAAGATCTATGAGAGGACAAACAAAAGACTGGCGGGAGTTTCAGACCAATTAGAGCGCAAGACTCCGCCTCTTTGACGGTTCTGAAGCGCGAGCACTCTCCGCCGGTCCTCCTTTTAAAACTAAACGCGACCGTTACAAGCCGTTCACAGTGAGTGACTGTAAACGTGCCGCCCAGCTTCAGCTCTGTACAGCTGTCTCACCCAGCAGCGCACTGTAAACATACCGCCCAGCTTCAGCTCTGTACAGCTGTCTCACCCAGCAGCGCACTGTAAACATACCGCCCAGCTTCAGCTCTGTACAGCTGTCTCACCCAGCAGCGCACTGTAAACATACCGCCCAGCTTCAGCTCTGTACAGCTGTCTCATCCAGCAGCGCACTGTAAACATACCGCCCAGCTTCAGCTCTGTACAGCTGTCTCATCCAGCAGTGCACTGTAAACATACCGCCCAGCTTCAGCTCTGTACAGCTGTCTCACCCAGCAGCGCACTGTAAACATACCGCCCAGCTTCAGCTCTGTACAGCTGTCTCACCCAGCAGCGCACTGTAAACATAAAGCCCAGCTTCAGCTCTGTACAGCTGTTTCACCCAGCAGCGCCCTGTGAACATACCGCTCAGCTTCACATCTGTACAGCTGTCTCATCCCAGCAGTGCAGCCATGGAAGCTAGTGTGCAGCAGAATCAGTCAGCTGAAGCATTTAGGTAGCTGGAACAAATGAAAGGCTGCCTCAGAATGAAATCTAAGATTGATCACAGTGCAACGAGGTTAGCACACTGAACAATACAACAATGAAACTGAACACAGTCCGTCAGTCTGTGTAGTTCAGAAAGGGTAGCAATAATCTTAATTTGCTCAGTTACATTTACTCTAGTAACGTCTTGGTGGATTTGTACTTTCCAGAATATTTTTAAAATATATTATTTGTGCATTAGATTAATAGTGTACATTTTACTCGGCTACATTTTAGTCAGTAATATATAATGACCAGTTTGTTTTTGTGTTTAAGTTCATTGTTATGCTTTGCTGTTATTGTTTTGCTGCATTTACCTAATGCATCTGTTTTGTTTTAGATGTTTCTCATCAGAAATCATCTGAAGCTGAGCAACTGGTGAGACTCAAGTTGCAAGACTTTTTAAGATTCAAGATTTACAGAGTAGAGATTTACAGTATGAAAAATAACGTGTTTCTGGAACACTGAACCATGTAAATATATTATAGTAGACCCCAAAAATAAATTTATGAACAATGGAAATTAGCATAATAAGTCCCCTTTAAATTCAGCCTGCTTGTGTATGCAGATCCAAAAGTAATTTCAAATTTATTGTCTTAAAATAGATTTTTTAACAGATGCATTTTATATTTCAAATTTCTATACAAAGTCAGTTAACATGTTTTTCCTTGTCTGTAGAACACATCAAGTGTGATGACGCTATTGTACTATGCATATACACAGTTGTAAAACCAATAACTGTAATCTATATTTTTGAAAGCTATGTGGGTGCTTTTTCATGGGCTATGCTTTGGATTGCAGAGTAAATTATTTGAATGTAGAAGTGTTCTGAATTTTTAACAGATTAACAAGGAAATACAAAACTGTAAAAGTGATTTTCCATACCCCTTTAAATTACTTTACTGTAATTTATGTGTACTTATCAATGTTCTTGTTCTCCTTCTTCTTATTATTTTAAAAGTTGATAAAATTATACCTTCATTAAAAAATGAAGCAACTGTAAAATAGTAATTGTAAAAAAAGATATTTTTACCACATTTTTAAATCATTAAGGGTTAATTACTATAAAAAGGTATTTAAAAGAACTGAATTAGATGTTTAAATTTTGCAGTAACGCTGTATTACAAAATAGTTGCATAAGAGTTTTCCCTCATACTACCACCATGTTGAAGGCATGGTATGAACTCACAAATAAATTTTCACTGATTCCATAAGCTTTTCTAATGCAACAGAAACATTTAAAGGGGAATTCCACATTTTTCTAAACTTGGGATAATTCTGTCATTGCGATGTAAACAAAGTCATTTAGTGGTTTCATATAAAATGGCTTATTGTAGAGAAAGTTACAGACTGGGAACCATGTGCCTATTATTATTATTATTATTATTACTTTTGTTGTTTAATTTGTTCTGAAATGTATAAATGTAGTATGTACTAATGTATGTAATGTTTGTACGTTTATAAAATAATATACGATATATATATTAAAATGAATGATACCATTATGCAGCCTACATAGAACAAAAAAAAATTAAAAATTAAAAATTTAATTACTAGAATTTTTGCTATAAACAATGTTACGTTTTAAAATTCCCTCAAAAATATTTAAAAGTGAAAGATTTACATCCTACATCTTGAGACATCTTGGGATGTTATTATAGCCAAGACATCTTAAGATCCGTGTCTATAGACATGTCTTAAAGACATGTCTTCATTTCTTAAGACATGCCTCAAGATGTCTTAAGACGTCTTCATAATGTGTCTTTAGACATGTCTTAAGACATCTCAAGATATGGTAATGGCTGGGTATGACCCAGGTGGGCACAGACAACAGTATGGTGCGCCAAGCGGCCAAAACACGTTACCAATACATAACACAGCGCAGATGTAAACATGGCGAAGAGAAAGATGAGAGCTGCTGTTGCGACCACGAGTGAAACAGATGTCTAGTATGGTGCTGCGGTAGAAATAAATAAATACGAAAGACTTACATTAAATACAAAACAGAACACAGGCAGTACAGTTCACTGTTTGTGAAATGTACCCAGTAAGGTTAAAAGTTTCATAACCATAGTTATAGTTTATGAACAAGACCTTCATATCATTCATAGAAATAAATGTGTGTAGGACGTGAATGTCTGCAGGCTCTGTACTGTTCACTGGCGGCACCGCTACGCAGCACCATCATTTAGCCATCAGGCGGCGCCCTAAAAAAGACAGTTGCGTATGCTGGGCGTCAGTACTCTTTGCTGATGACAGAGAGTTTTTCTGTTTGAACTACCAGCAGTGATGCCTTTTTCCTGTTTCACTCGTGGTCTTCGTTATGACTTTTTTATTTAATAATCAGATTCATTTATTTCTTTTATCCGATGTGCCATCCAACGTTTTCTTCTGATATCGACTCAGTGTCGTCTCTGTTGACCTGTGACCGGGACATCTGCGTTTGGAGGCTAAACTGGATTATTTCACAGTTTTATGCGATGATTTTATTACAACACCATCTTTTTCTGAGTGTTATTTTCTTCATTTTGCTCTGCAGCAGAACTACAGGTAAGTCTGGAATTATTAACGCTTCTATCCATCTATTCTGCATAAAGTTACCAGTACAGTACTGCTGGCCAGGGTTTGGGACTGTCTACAAAGACCTCTACAAAGTATTTTGTAGTTTATGTGTAATATGTAATTTATTATTAAATTACTAGCAACTAAAAATTCATATGGTAAAAGTGTATGACTTTGACATGTTCACAAAATGTTGTTGGGTGGGCTGATCAGAAGTTTTTTTTGTTTGTTTTTTTAACTAAAGTCATACAGTACATTGAAGAACGAGAATGATATCACAAACACAGAAGAAAAAGCACATTAAGCACACACTAAGCACATTAATTCAACATTATAGATGCGAACTACATACCAAAAAAGGGGAGTGTCGTGGCAATATATAGTTCAGGTCATATTTCCTGATAAGTGAAAGAAGCTTAGAACTACAGTTCTGTAAAAAAGTATTTGGCCCTTCACATTTTTTTCCATTTCTACATATTTGTCACAACTGAATGTTTCTGATCATCAAACTACCTTTAATATTAGACAAAGAAACCTATGTAAACACAAAGGCTGTTTTTAAATGATGATTTCATTTATTAAAGGAAAAATGCTGTTCAGCCTTACTTGGTTTTATGTGCAAAAGTAATTGTCCCCTTACCTACTAAATCAACTAGTTACCAAATTTAATTGAATATTGGGTCAATTTCACACCCAGGCATGATTACTGCCAGACTTGTTGAATCTAAACTTCACTTAAATAGAACCTGTCTGGCAAAGTGATTCACCAGGAGCAAATCAACGACTCATCCAGGAGGTCACAAAAGAACCAAGACGAACATCTAGAAAACTGCAGGCCTCACTTGCCTCAGTTAAGATCAATGTACATGATTCCACAATAAGAAAGACAGTGGGCGAAAATGGCATCCATGGGAGAGTTACAAGCCTATCAGAGAATCCTGAAGGAGAATGTCCACTCAGTTCATGACATAAAGTTGAAGCGTAAATGGGTTATGCAGCAAGACAGTGATCTGAAGCACAGTAACACGACCACCTTTGAATGACTTAGAAGAAACAAAATGAAGGTTTTGCAGTGGCCAAGTCAAAGTCCTGACTTAAATCCTCCACAGGATTGTAAAGGACTCATTGCAGGTTATCGCAAATGTGTAATTGCAGTTGTTACTGCCAAGGATAGAAAGGACCAGATCTGCCAAAATGAAAAATAAGTAAAATTAAAAATAAATGACTTAGTAAATTAATATATGAATTAGAATTGCAAAGAATGCTGATGATAAGTCTAAAAAAAAATAAATATACATAGTATATTATACATTTGTCCATAGTGTAGTTGTTATGTAAATCTTAACACTATATAGTTGCCAGAAGTTAACCAAATAAGGGGAAGAGCTTACACTGTACAATTATACACATATTCTGCTCTAAAACCTAAAGGCTTTGACCAGTTGTTATGAAACTTCACAGGCATGTTCCTTTCAGGGGTCAAAAGCAAATTTCAGGTTTTGGTGCAACTGCATCACTAAGGGGTGCGACAACAATGTTACACAACAAACGATTGCCCAATTGAAATTACATTTTTCATGTTGCTACTGTGGGCGGCACGGTGGCGCAGTGGGTAGCGCTGTCACCTCACAGCAAGAATGGCCTGGGTTCGATTCCCGGCCGGGTGACCAGGGTCATTTCTGTGTGGAGTTTGCATGTTCTCCCCGTGTCTGCGTAGGTTTCCTCCGGGTACTCCGGTTTCCTCCCACAGTCCAAAAACATGCAGTCAGGCTGGTTGGACATGCTAAATTGCCCCTAGGTGTGAGTGTGTGAATGTGCATGTCTGTCTGTCTGCCTGCGATGGACTGGCGACCTGTCCAGGGTGTATCCTGCCTTCTGCCCAATGACAGCTGGGATAGGCTCCAGCACCCCACCGCGACCCAGAAGGATAAGCGGTTTAGATGATGGATGGATGGATGTTCCTACTGTTTGCTATCCTGACTCTATGACAATATCAAATCCAAATCATATCCAAAAATATACTGCAGCCATTAGCCAATCAGATTTCAGCAGGTGTTTGATGAATTGGCCTTAGAATTGGCTAATGCTTCTATTTTGCATTCTTTTCTAATTTAATAGTTTTTAATTGTAATGGTTTTTAAGTTGATTCATTATATTATCATCATTACGATTTGATCTGATTTTTAAAGTCGTCTCAGACTTTTGGAACCCACAGTATCATAAGCATGTAGCCTATAGGGGGTTGAGCTGTACTAGCAGTGTAGGGTGTTCTAGTGAATTACAGTTTGGAACCCGCAGTTTGCTGCTTGCGGCTTAAGAAATTTTCTGTCTTGTCTAAGATGAAGTTACCAATAATTAACATTAATTATTTAGCTAGCTTTCTAATCGGCACAAAAGTTTAATGCGGGATCATTTTTTTAAGAAATAACTCATATTGTCCAAACCAGTGATTCCCAAACGTTTCATGGTTTTGTACCCCTTCAGACATGAAACCTCCTGCTGCGTACCCCCTCTCGCTCCCTGTACATACACATGCACATATTCCCACAATGCCTATGTAAGACGTTTAGCCTTATAAAATCAGAGTGCCAGAATGCTACCTGGAAACCTGTCACTGGCTTTTGATTAAATATAGTATTCAAAGTTCTGCAGTTTCAGTGAGGATACAAAACTGCTTTATTTTTATTTGATTGCATTAATAACAAAACAATATTGATTCAAACTTATTATATCTATTTACATAATCAGTGTAATTGTATATTCCTATATTCCTATTTCTATTTACATCTCAATTTTAAGCTATTTTAAAAGCTAAACATCTGACACTGGACCAACTAACAATCATAAATTAAATTGTCTTTTTTAATACTTGGTTGCCAATCTTTTGCAGTCAATATTGAAATCTGGGATCCATAGACATCACCAGAGACAGGGTGTCTTCCCTGGTGATGCTCTATCAGATTTTTTTTTTACTGCAGCTGTCTCCAGTTCCAGCTTATGGGGCATTTTACCTTCAGTTTTACCTTTAAATTAAATGCATGTTCATTTGGAATGAGCTCAGGTGATGGACTTTTGTCAGCAGTCACATCATTAATAATACCAGAGAACCAGTTCCACTGGCAGCCATGCATGCCCAATCCATAACACTACCTCTGCCATGCTTGGCAGATGAGGTGGCATGGTTTGGTTCAAGAGCAGTGCCTTCCCTTCTCCATACTCTTCTCATCCCATTTGGTATTTCCCAAGTTGATCTTTGTCTCATCTGTCCATAAGATGTTGTTTTAGAACTGTACAAGCTTTTTGGATGTTTTTTTTGGCAGAAACACATTTGATCCTCCAGTTTTTGAGGCTTACCAGTGGTTTGCCTCCTGTGGTAAATCTTCTGTATTTACTCTGGTGAAGTCTTCTCTTGATTTGGCCACAATTAGTATTTTTTCTGTCTCTCTGATGGGTTTGATTTAATTTTTTAGCCTAATGATAGCTTGCTCTTGAAGCATCTACCTCTAAAAGCTGCCTCATAGAAAGCTATTACACAAAAGTGTTACAAATATTTCACCTGATGACTGAGAAATTGTTTTATGAAAGTTTTGAGACAAGGCATTGAGCAGGTGATGACAAAATATTATAGCGACCCACTGCTGGCTAGCACTGGCCTCTAGACGCTCGTGAGAGAGTGGTGCACCTTCTGTTTTGTGTTGGGGGTTGGTCTAATTTAAGTAATTGTTTTATCCACTGTTAAGATAATGTGATTCTGCCCATATCATCACCGATGGTGAAGCCAAAAGGCCAGGCCTGTCATCAAGGGTTTACTTTGCTCAACACATTTGCATGATATTACTTTTTTGACAGGAAGGTCTTTTAAATTCTGGTTCAGAACTGTACAAGTTAAATGCACCCCCCTGAAGTCACAAAATTAAAACACACACAAGAAAATCTATATTGAATAATGAATTGCTCAATAATTATCTATAATTGTTCTGTTCAAGAAGCCACTAAAATAGGAGCATCCCTACACCTCAAACTAATTAAGAATGCAAAGATCTATGAATATGCACAATTATACAAATTATAAATGCCCCCTTGCTGCCCCAGAAACCCACCGATTTTCCCCCAATATCCTATACCCTGTCTCTATGTATAAACAGATGAAACAGAGAAGAAAACAATTCACACTGTAGCTATAATAATCACAAAGATTCTGTCTTTCTGTCACTCATGTTCACTCTCTCAGTTTAGGTGCTAATACTGCCCTTAACACTTAAGGAGAGCCAGTTGATGCTGGCCTGGCACATCCTCTCATTAACACATTTTAGTATACTGGATCATGATAGGTTCAAGCTCATTCATGCTGTACAAAGCTAAGCTGCTACTTAGCTCCCCACCAATCATTTTTGAGTGCCCTTCCACACAGCTATAGAACATGCTCAGTTAGCAGTCAAGTAAATTGAGACATTATAATAATAGTAATGAATCATCATATGTGTTATTAAGGACCTAGTATCTTCCCTCCTTGATTCAGTTTTCACATCATCTTCCTCTGTTAATGATGAAATATAATTTGTCACCTCCAGAAGAGGCATTGATGTGGTAGAAGGATAAAGAAAAATCTAGACCTTCCTTCTGCCATTCTAACACTGGCAAAGTGATGAGTGTTAATGTAAACAGAATGTTGTTTTGTTGGTGGTTGTTTGTTTGCACCCTTTTATATTGACAGATAATTTAACTTTGTTGTATTGCCATTTTTATTTAATTAATTAAATTATTTATTCATTTATTTATTTTTTACAGCTATAAGGGTCATTGGTCGGAGTGCAACTGCTAAAGCAGGAGATGGCGCCAGCCTGTTTTGTCAGCTGGTTGAGACAAATGAGACACTAACACGGATTACTTGGAAAAAAAGGACTCGAGAAACGCTCACAAATAAGAACTTTTTTGTCATTAACTCAGATGGCAAAACGGCAACTATAAATGGATTAGGAGACAGAACTGAATTTATTGGAAAAATCTCAGAAATGATTGGCACAATTCTTCTGAAGAATGTAATGCTACAAGATGAAGGAATTTACACTTGCATCTTCAATATATTTCCAGATGGACCATTTGAGACAGGACTTTACCTCAGAGTACTAGGTACGATTTATAGTTCACATTAGTTCACTCTAAAGCTAAAGGAACAATACATTTCTTTTTCTTGAAATTTTATTATACATCATTGGCTTGCATTGATAAAGAAAAGCACTATTTAGTATTTAGAAGCTTTTGAAAAATAAAAACACCATAAGAATGCTCTAAACCAAGTCGAAGAACATGTTAGAGCTACATAACAAAAAAATTAAGCTGAATGTACATTCATTTAGTTTTAGCTTACATGCTCTTCTTTTATTCTAAAGTAAGGTGTGTATCTGCATACAACTGGAAAATAGTACATCAGTGTACCATACGTATTGTCACTTTCGTATTTCCTCTCAAAACCGCATTCTCAACTGACATCAATGCGTGCAAGCTAACGTGCTTTTGTAGTTACTAGCCTGTAGTTACAACCGTTCAACACGGCTAACACCTATGTTGTACCCAATTCAGTTTCTCCTCAAATTAACGTTCCCTTTGACAAATCACGCGTACATTAGTTGAACAGAAATAATGGCAAGCAACACGAACTATAGAAAGTACAAAAAGTATTTTTAAAGAATGTTCACTTTTACTCAAATTGAAAATATTAATAATCACAATAATGCCGTGTTTTCTTGAGTGAATGTATTTTGGGGATTAAGTGAAAACACCTTTTTTAACCTTTTCACTTTCCGTAGTTCCAGTTGCTTGCCGTTGTTTTCTGTACAGCGCGCACCCGAAGACCTGATTTGTCAAAGGGACCGTGAGTTTGAAGGAGAACTGAATCAGATACAACATTTTAGTTTATATTTAGTTTTCTTACCTATTTTTGAAAGAAGGGTGTGTGGAGGACATTGATAAGGTCAGTTTCCAAAATGTCATAGAGCCATATCGATTTGAACCAGAACAAAAAAGGCATGCAGGGCAGAGAGGTACATGCAGGCCATTGTAAGGGAAAAAATAGTACCCAAAAAATGTGTTTTTTTTTTTTTCAAATTTAGCACTATTTTACCATTATCAGCGTGACATTTAAAAACTTATAAGACACACGTAAGTTCACTGGTCATTTTGTGTAGCAGATAAAATGGTGATATTTGTAGTGTAGACATATGGACATCTGGTTCCTAGTACTACAATGGTGAACAATTTTTACTCAGTAAATTTCTCTAGAAAGGTGCATTTCACACCAAACCACTCTGAATGATTTTGTTTACATGTTAATGGTTATGAGAATATGTTGAACATGAACATTGTCAATACCAGTGGACCATTTGCTTGAGAAAATGACCTTTTATCTAGTGCATACTTGGACTGTGTGTTCCTTTAATCCAACCTCTTTTAGTTCTCAAAAATACCATGGAGGAATGCAATGATAAGCGGCCAGTAGGTGCCACATATGTAATCTGTAGGACCTGAGGGGAGCTTGGGCCACTAGAGGTTACAACAGGGTAATCTAGCAGATTATATAGTGTCTGGAGTCTGGTTGAAATATTCTTAGTAGGAGCTGTACAGAGCAGAATACTATTGTGATGCAAAATGTACAGGTGCATCTCTCTTACCTGTTTCAAACACCTAAGGTGGTACAAATCTCATGCAACCACTTGAAAACGTACGATAGATGCTGGTAAACCAAACACTGTTGCAGTGGCAGTTTTTTGTGGGTTTTCCAACCAAGTAATGCTGCATATAATCTTTATTTAATAAAATGAGTATCCTTGATGTATTCTTAGTTGAGCTTTTGAATTTAATTCTGTAGTTCTCCTTAACTCTGGGCTTAGACATTGTCTGCAGGCAGGCCAGTCCAGCACCTGCACTCTCTGATTATGCAGCCATGCTGTTGTAACATGTGCAGAATGTGAGTTGGTGATGTCACCGAAAAAGACATCGTCTAGAAAGCAGCATATGTTGCTCCAAAATGCATTAAGCTATAATGCTATTACAGATGGGCAAGTTTCCCACTAATACCCTGCCCCCCATACCAGTGATCTAGACAGTCTAGATGGTCATTTTCTTCTTTAGCCCAGAGAACACTACATCCATTATTTCCATAAACAATCTGAAAGGTTGGACTTATCAAATCACAAAACATGTTTCCACTGTGCATCAGTCCATTTTAGTTTCTGTGTTTATTTGCATTTTACCTACCGTCCCAACTTTTTTGGAGTTCATAAGTACAATATTAAATATCATTCGATGATTTGTGCTCTGAGATAAAACTGAAGCTGAAGAAGAAAGTCCACCACTAAGGATGAAGACAAAAACAAACACATGGATGAGGTTTTCTACAGAGAATCACTTTTTTCAATCTAGGTCATTTGTTGGTTGGTTATATTCTTTCATGTACTAATGTTTGTCTTCAATTTTAGTTCCTCCTGCTGCTTTTGTGACCACTGATGTGATTCCTGTTGCTGGTGAGTCTGAAGTGACCTTAGCAACCTGCACTGCTGCTAAAGCACGGCCTAAGGCAGATGTGTCCTGGAGGCTGGGTGCTCTGAACGACTCTGTGAAAGTACAGACCCACACTCTGCAGACTCTGATGGAACTTACACAGTCAAAAGCTTCCTGATTGGTGTAGCATCCAAAGATCTAAACCAACAGAAGTTTCAGTGTTTAGTGAACCACACCAGCCTGAATGAGGAGCTGATACTGGACTATGCTCTAATTATCCATTGTAAGTCACTGTCAGCAACCTGACTATCACACACACTCTAGAGATATAGACAGTGTGAAACACTATAAATGAGAGCAACAAACAACTGAACATCTGTTTATATGAACACAATCAGATTAAACTAGGCTGTTTCATGAGTATGTATGCAAAATGAGCTCATGTACTGCATGGAACGGAAGAAAAAATGTAGTCCCGCAAAATCAGCTAACACAGGTCACAATTCTGTTTTTATTTATAATGGCTTTTGTAAAGCTTTCAGACAGTCTCTTAGTTACTGTGTACATTTTACTCTTTTCTCTCAGATCCTCCTCAAAGCGTAGAGATTATTTCCGTCGCAGTCACAAAGACAGCTGAGGAATTTCAGTGTGTAGTTGATGCCAATCCACAGCCAACGACATTCACCTGGAACAGGTAATCAAGCTGAGTCAGAAAGATGGATAGGTGCATCTGCAGCACTCACAGTAAACATCTATTATAGCAGGTTTTCCAGCCTGTGGTCCACAGACCTCAAGTGGGCCACAAAGCACTCTAGTGGGCCACGAAGCACTCTAGTGTTCTGCGGGCCATGAAATCAGGGGAGGCAGTAGTTCATAGTGGGCCAGTAACATCACTTTAACATCAGAAAAACATAAGTGGAAAAAGATTAACTTAATAATTAAGAACTGAGAAGCGAATATTTTTAAATTATAACTAATATACATACAAATAAAAACATTGCAGCCACAGACGCGCGATGCAGTTAGTCAGTGAGTCAGAGATGGAGACGTTTACTCTCATTTCTACATCACAAGCTGCTGTAAAATAAAATACTAGCAAAGATATATGTTTGCTTTTGGCTCATGGATCGGAACGTATTTTGGGCCTAGCATCAGCAACGTGAGTGGTTTAAGTCAAATTGATAAACCAATGACAAAAAAGCAAGTATAAAGGTTTATTATTATTGTTGATTGTGACTACGCTAATCCAAAAGCCTAGTGAGTGTACTGAGGTTTGTCTATTTCAAATGAATCACAAATGCCCTCAAAACTAAAGAGAAATCTCAAGACAAAGGCAGTGGAGTATTTTCAGTGAAAACTGCAGCTCCAACATAACTGCAAATTTTGGGACCTGCGATTGAGCCAAAATGGACAATCTGATCTGATTCTCAGGTTTTCAGTTTCAGCACTTGAGAAGAGAAAATCGTATTTAAGAAGATGATTTTAGTTTTCCTGTGGGCCGCTATTCTTTGTATTTATAAACAGGTGGGCCTTGGGGTAGAAAAGGTTGAGAACCTGTGTATTATAGAATATCAGCTTATCTAGAAAGGCAAAAGGTGCATCTGGTTACAGCTCAGCATACACACACATTTTCTGTTTATAATCTGTTTATCCTTCTGGGTTATTTAGTGGAAGGCAGGAAACGGGTCGCCAGTCCACTGCAGGGAGACAGATACATTCTCTCAGACACACACAGAGATACATTCTCTCAGACACACACACACACGCCCACCTAGGGGCAATTTATCATGTCCAATCAGCCTGACTGCATGTCTTTGGGCTGTGGGAGGAAACTCATGCAGACACAGGGAGAACATGCAACTCCACACAGAAAGTACCCAGGTCGCCCCGGCCAGGAATCAAACCCAGGTCCTTCTTGCTGCTTTATAGTTTCTTGTTCCTGAGACTGCCATTATTGTCATTTAGTGCCAACAACTGCTTCATAACTGTTTTACTTAAGGTTTAATGTTTTTGTTGGACATTTCTTCTTGCTGATTTTTTTAAAGAATTCACAAATTAGTTTTGTGAGCGATATGATAATTAGTATCGTTATCATTCTGATCACTGTCATTGTAAAAATCACTGGATTGGATATCAGAAGAAAAAAATAAAGTATAATGTGATATGATCCATTAGCCTAACCTATCATGTGAATACTTTTTGCACAAAGTTGCACTTTAAATTTAATTTTGAATATTTGAAAGGTGCTGAACAATTCAAAATACTGCTAAAAGTTGTGTTTGTGAATTTTTTTTAAATTAAAAGAAACAGCAGTATTGCTTAATGGAGTCGTGTTGTGGGCTATGTATTTCTTGCTTTAGGGTAGTAGAATATTTGTTTCAAAGTTTGATTATTTAGATGCTATGTTAAGCAAAGTGCATCCAGATAAATGTATCATTCACAGCTTAGCTGTTTAAGAAAGGGATTGGTATGCTGTGGTATCAGTATCGTAATCACACATCGAAAAGTGGTACCGAGCCAGCCCTAGTTTAAAGTAAGATCTGCACGGGTGATATCTGAGAGGTTAATTCCTGTAGCTGTTTAGATTAAATCTGCTAATATGCACAGGTAAAGGCAGCTTTCCACAGGTAGGCCTACTAAGCATTTGTAACATGAATATACTCCTCCACATTAACACTGCATTTTAATACAAGTTAGCACATTTCTGCTTCTTGTACTAACAGGGTGAACAAGACTCTTTTAAGCCGTGTTGATGCTGACAGGCTGATAATCCCACTGACCTCTGACAACAATGGCCTATATATGTGTAATGTTTCAAACCAGTATGGAAATGGCACAGGTACCCTTTCACATGCATGTTTCCAGAGGTGAGTCTCATTTGTACATATGTTAACTATTGCACATAACTAAAGTATCCAACCTGTATTACAATAACTCCTCTGTAACAATGCTATTTGCACAACTGTTAAATTTCTGCAAAAATTCATATAATTCTGTAATATTCTGTATATGATAATTTAATATTATGTCATCAGATCTTCATATGTCTAGGTAGTCTCATCTGCATATGTACAGATATTTACACTTCTCTTTAGCTCCTCCATGTCTCCTCATTATCATTATTCTTTATTCTATTTATTGTGTTTTTATTTTAATTTTGTCTTAGCTAAATCGTTTGTAACAGTTTGTTTGCTTGTCTGGTCTGTTTAGTATGTTACATACATGAGTGCACTCAGCAAGACAAATTCCGTGGATGTGTAACATACTAGGCAAAATAAAGTGATCCTGATACAGATGTGCAATATGATCTATCAGTCATCACAAAACAAAGTTGAGAGATATTCTAACAGTCAGGCAAATTACCCAACATAACAGTAGATTAAAAATGAATGGCAAGCTTCTGAAATTTTTGTGACTAGGCCAACTGGACAAACTAGTGCACCACTCATTAGACTCAGAACCTGTTGCATACTGACATATTGGTTTGCACATGTGGGCAAACCTGATTAGGATATATGAGGATGCAGATCTCAGGGACTTGATTGTGGATGCTTAAAAAGACAACCTACACTAATTATACTATCATCTTTTAATAAAAAGGTTAAAATTTAAACTTTTTCTCTCTCACTCTCCTTTCTCTTCTTCCTCTCTACATGTAGAATCCACCACTGTCTGTTGGAGTTTGTTCACCATTCTCCTGCTTGTCATTACTGCTGTTTATTTAATATGGAGATATAATTTAATCAGGAGATTGATCTATTTTACTTCACAGCTGAGAGAAAGAAATTGGTGAGTTTGTTCATTTTGAACATAAAGCACAAAGTACATTTTTTTATTAGACAAATATTTTTAAGTTATTTTGGTCTTTGGAATAGTAATAGCATTGATTTTTCACTATTATTTTCAGTCCTTCTAACCTAAAATAAGCATCACAGTCCTTTTGATAATATTAATAAAACACCGCCCAAAATGATTATTGCATTTTCATTTGAATGCTTTCACTCCAGGCGTTCTGAGCATGTTCCTGTGGCCACTTATTCAGCCTCGTCTACATGTAATGGAAGCCAAAACCTTGAGGACAGCAGTGAGGTCAATCTTTGAAACTTCATTCACCAGGCACAGTGTCACCAACACTGGGACAAGGACTAAATATGTCATATATGCCATGCAGTGCCAAGAAGGAGACACAGTCAAAGCGGAGAAGCTCTGATCAACAAAGACTGGGAAAAGTTGTCCATAGACCAGGCAGAAGAGCTGTGTTAACATTGGTAAGGCGTTTCAATGATGGAGAGACCTCACCTCAGAGAGCTGACAAGGCTGACATTGGCTTCTTGTTTCACCAGCTTTTACAAATTCAAAGACACCAGAATGTAGCTACTGAACCATTTAAGGTGGTACAGGAAAATCTGAACAAGAAGCTGGCGAATAAGAAGCTGACTTCAGCTTCATCGAGAGTTGAAAGGCATGAAAATAGATCTGTTTCTGATTTACAGGTGGGTAACATTAACTTATTTACACTCATTGTCTGGAGAGGCCTAAAAGACATCAATTTTAACCAACGCAGCTCTATTCCAGCAGAGGGATAAGCACGAACGGGTGAATGAGTTAAACCAGTTCTTTGTGCAGTTTGACAATGGCTCCTCTCCTGCTCCATTGTGTCCATCTCCTACACAGATTAACACACCTACCTACACAACAACGCCATGGGCCATCCACAGCCTCACCCTCATCCACCACAGCCATTCACACCTGTGACTATCACTATTCACTGCTAATCAGGTGAAGAAGGAACTGAAAAAAACTTAGGCAGAGCAAAGCAGCGGGACCTGATGGCCTAGATGAACCTAGGGTGCTGAAACTGTGTGCGGAGCAGCCGTGTGGAATTCTACAGCACATCTTCAATCTGAGCTGCAGCCTGAAGAGAGTCCCAGTTATGTGGAAAACATCTTGTGTGGTTCCTGTCCACAAGAAAAGACATCTGATAGCACTGAATGATTATCGACCAGTTGCACTGACAAATCACCATGCGCCACACTAGCAGAAAACGTAGGGTCAATTACTCAGTCAATGGTGGAAAAAAGGACTTTGGTATTATCTTTGTGTTTATTATTTACTCTACAGAGGTATAGGGTGATTAAAAAGATTCATCCGATTTCAAAAGCGCTACATTTTTACAACCGTGAGGTGTCTAGGAACCAGTCACATACCAATTGAAAGAGGAGTCATAGAGTTTCTGACTGTCAGTGGAAGATGGTTCTCCTTTTAGTTTGTAAGGAGATGAAGACCCCTGAGCAGAAAGCGTTGTGCGTTCTCCACTTCAGTAAGAGTGAATCCATCATAACTGTGCAACATGATTTTCAGCAGCAGTAAAACTCCAACAGCTCAGAGCATTCGGCGTTGGTTTCACAACACTGGATGATCTCCGAAATCGCACTGAAAGTGCTGTAATTACAGTGACACCCGACATGCTCAATCGAGTATGGGATGAATTTGACTATGGCATTGATGTTGTCCGTACAGCTGGAGTAGGTTCATATTGAGCACTTGTAAAATTACATAAACTTAATGCTCACTTAAACCATTTACAATATGCTGCATTGTTCTGTAATGATTTACAAGTGAAATAAATAATTTTGAAATCGAATGAATCTTTTCGTCACCCTGTATGACTGGATATTTTCATATCTTTATTGTAGGTGAAGATCTGCTTTTTGAGAATGTCTGGTAAACGCTTCTACTCTCCATGCTTAAGCTAATATTTAAATCTGCTCCACTAATTTTGACCCAGGCGCTTAGAAAAGAGACAGCAGCATTACCTGAAATCTAAGTATGTATATCTATGCTTCAGAGCCAGTCACTGCAGTTGCTTCTCACAAGCTGCACGAGCTACAAGATGGCTTGATGACAGATCTTAGTCCTCATTGGCTAGAAGTTCCACTGACACGTATGACGTTTGTTTTTCATTCTGAAATGTAACTCTCCGCTATAGCTCTTAATGACCCTGTATTTACGCTAATACTATAATGCTCTCTAGTAGCATCACACTTTATTTTCGTGCAATATTCAACATTTGTCATAATTATCATTTCATGTCATGAAAAGACTCGAGTGGCTGATATTTCTTTAATCTAACATATGTCTTTTTATCTTGATATTTTTCTAGAACTTCTAAAGTTCTGTCTTATTTTATTTTTATGAAGCACTCTGAATTGCTTTTATGATATATATATATATATATATATATATATATATATATATATATATATATATATATAGCAACTTTTTTTAAATATACTACATTACTATTGCACTTTATTTTTCATTCTACTCTGTAAACTTTGTAAATGTTTTAAGTAAAGAATAAAGCTGTGTGAATGAACATAGTGTTATGTTTCTTTACAAGAACCAACACCAGGAGGTAAGCTGTACTGGAATATAATAATAATAAAAAATTGTTGTTCAGAAGACAATTGTGTTTAGAGATTCATCTTCAATGCCTCAATAATTGCTTTGTCTGTGCCTCAAGAAGCACAGATGATTCTACACAATCGTACAATGTACAAATTAGCCCCATTATTCATTAGTGACTCATATCGGGCACATCTTTCAGTGGTGTGCTTACTGAAGTGCTGTTACACAATACATCCATAAAATAACATGCAATACTGGATGTTATGTGATTAGGTTAGATTAATTTTATCTCCCAACAGTTTAATCACACTCATCACTGATGCTGATAATTTATAAATATATGCACTTACAAACTGCAGTTTTATACAGACCACTTAGGAATAGTATAATTAACCTAAATGGCACACACAATGGCATCCACTGTGCAATGTTTACAGTCCTGTTTTTATGGGTCAGTCATTCACGTGTAAGTTTTTATCATCATGAAGTGAAACATAGGGCTATCTGAGTTTGGAATTTTATCCACTATCGAACAACCTTGTGAATTCACTCGTTTTAGGCATTAACTGATTAACGAACACTTTCACAAGTTTGTGAACAAGAGTTTGTCATATTGAATTGTTCTATACTGCTCTATCATATGTTAAAACATGGTATTCTGTTTTGTTGGCCAAACATTGGTACAGTAATACACATGTAATGAGGTGAGATCAGGCTCAAATTAACTCACTTGATTTATGAAAATTTTCACAACTATATGTCTGTCATTCCTTTACTTATTAGCTTTTGCACCATGAGGCTGACTTATGTCAGATGATTAGCCTTTTCTTGTCTGTTTCTCTTAAAGACTTTCGATTGACTGCCTTGTGTAAATTTCAGAGACATGCAATTTAATATGGATTTTATAGAGATTAGTGTTGTATATCAAAGCTATGGTGTGATTTGCTAACTAGCCAGGCAAGCAGTGTTTGCTGAAAAGGCTACCTATTCCAATTAAATAAAACATCGCCTGACTCCTCACTGGTTAAATATTCCAGTGGAATAAACATCAAATCTGCCAGTAACTGAGTGAAATACAGCAATAGCTGAGTGGAACATGTCAGTACGTTAACTGAGTTAAATCTGCCAGTGGCTGAGGGCAGAAACCTTCTGTAAACTACATGTCGTAGTTCATCTTAAGTTGATAATTCTGACAAAATGAGATTTCAGAAAGTTACAGGCTTTTTTGTAGATGTTTTTTTACACTAATTTGGTCTTTCTGTTTTTGAGGCTTACCAAAGGTTTGTCTTGTAGTAAACCCTCTGTATTTACTATGGTGAAGTGTCCTCTTGATTTTTGACTTTGACACAGATACCAGTCTACCTCCTGGAGATTTTCTTGATCTTGTGAAGTGCTGTGAAGGGGTGGGGTTTTTCTTCACCACGGAAAGATTACATGTGTCAGGCTCCAGTCCTCCAGACTTCAACACACCGCCTCATTAAACACACCTGGGCCAGGATTCACAAAAGCTTTCTTAAGAAAAAAAACTTGCAAAGGTTCTTAGGACTAACACTAAGAAGTTCAAAAGAATGTTCTCAAATGCAATTCTTGAAAAAAAACATAAGAAGTTCTCAAAAATCCTCTTAAGATATGATGAATTTAGATGCCCACCTCGTCAACTCTTACATCTTAAGCAAGTGTGAGGCTGTCGTAAGGTTAAGAAAACATTTAAGAACATAATATTTTCAAGAATACCACTTGCTCTTAGAATTATACTTAAGAAAATAGTAAAGAAAAGAAAATAAGAGAATTCTTAAGAAGTTATTTGAAGAATAACAGTTTCTCACAACTTTTTTCTTAAGAATGAAGTCAAGAAAAACACACATTTACGAAGATTTTCTTTCGTAAGATATTTTTGTTAATCCGGCCCCTGATTCAGCTCTTCAGCTAATTAGCAAGGCCTTAATGAACTGAATTCAAAGCATTAGATGAAGGTAAACGCTAATCTCCACAGCACTTTGGCCTGCAAATTCCCCTGTTTCACATGCCTGGTGTGGGCATGCCCTCTAGACGTGACAACAGGATAATCTAGTCGATGATAGGATGGCTGAGGTCTTATTGAAGTGTTCCTAGTAGGGAGCTGTACCAAGCACACTCTTAAGTTAAAATGTACAGGTGCATCTCTCTTACCTTTTTGAACCCTCTAAAATGGTACAAATCTACTCACAGAACTGCTTGTAAACATTGTTAGGATACCTGCTGGTGAACGAAACATAACTATTGCAGTGGTGAATCAGGCTGAGTTTTTATGATTTTTCTAAGTGATGACATGTGATGGATATAATCTGTATTAAATAAAATATATGTCCTTGATCTATTCCTATATGTGTTTCTGGATTTCATCCTAGAGTTCTCCTTAACTCTGGGCTTTGACCTTGGGGGTATATTTTAAGATCTCAGGGCTACCACACCAGGTGTAAAGCAATTTTGAGACTAGTAAATGGTTTTTAAGCTGTGCATTTGGGGCAGTGTGATGTTCACTATATCTTTTCAAGAATAATCTTTGTGCTAACATAATTTTGGGAAATCAGCCCAGAATAGCAGACAGGATGGCGGACGAGTCTATATTTATTTACATTTCCTGCTACGTATTGCACTACTGAAAGCACAAATGCAACAATCTGATGCAGAGATAATGTTTTGACAAGAGATAACAGTTTTGAAAAGTAGTGATTTATTTTGCCAGAGATTTATAAAGTTGCATGCTTGTATTTGTGTTTAAAATTAAAACTCATGTAAACATCTGTGGGAAAATGGAAATAAGAGTCTAAATAAAAAAAAAGTATTTTATTATGATGCAGATATTAGTGCTAATTTCCACTGAAAATACTCATATTTAGTTGAATTAGACATATAGTCAACTATGCTTGATATCAATGTGGATATTAGTTTTTCACAACTTTGTATGTTTTATTATTTTATTCTGTACTACCGTAAACCGTGGATATTTTGACATTACTATTAAAGGAATTTTCTTCATCATTTTGCTTTCTGAATATTTTTGTATTTTTAATGTGAATTGTGTATTTTTAAAGAAGAATACTGCAAAAAATCACCCTCTTTAACTGAAAAAGAAACAACAGCTCTTACAATGAAAGTGAATTGTCGCACACTATTACTTTCCAATCTAAAGTCAAATTTATCTGCCAAATTTATAAAGTTTGTTAACAGGTTTCTGTCTTGCAAATATAAAAAAAATAAGTGGGCCCACCAGTCCAGAATTCTTCCTCACTCCTTTTAAAAAAATGTGTAAAATATGTACATCTAAAGTAAGATATGGCAGAAAAATATGATTCCATAAGCCATAGAACAAGACAGCAAAATACATTGTTAAATTAGCTACTACAATGAATGCTAGCATTTTTCTGAAGTCATTACAGAAATCAGCCTTAGTTGCTTCAAATGAAACTTCGGTAATCAAAGTTTAATTTAGATCACACTAGAGTGAGATGTGTTATGATAATATGAATAACTGTATGCAGACTGCATGGTTTTGGACAAAAAAGCTAATGACAAGCACCACCATGGTGTATAAATACACATAATATAACAAGTTACAAGTTAATAACATGTTTCAATGCATTGTGCTCTGGGCTGAAGCTGAGGGAGTCTAAAAGTTGAGGACCAAAAACCAAAGGATACAGAGAAATATTCTACAGAGAATCACAGACATTTTTAAATTAATTTACACTGAAGAGGCCAAAGTAACCTGTGTTAGAACACATCATCTCCATTTTAAATTAATGTCATTTACAAGCTGTTTTCATTCATGCCATGTACGTACTGTTTGTCTTCACTTTTAGTTCCTCCTGTTGTTGGTGTGACCACTGATGTGATTCCTGTTACTGGTGAGTCTGAAGTGACCTTAGCCACATGCACCGCTGCTAACGCATGGCCTGAGGCAGTTGTGTCCTGGCATCTGGGTGCCCTGAGCGACTCTATAAAATTGCAGACCCACACTCTGCAGACTCTGATGGAACTTACACTGTCAAAAGCTTCCTGATTGGTGTAGCATCCAAAGATCTAAACCAGCAGAAGGTTCAGTGTTTAGTGAACCACACCAGCCTGAATGAGGAGCTGATACTGGACTACACTCTAATTATCCATTGTAAGTCACTGTCAGCAACCAGACTATCACACACACTATAAATGAGAACACTGTACATGAACAAAAGAACTCAAATGTATGGAACTGAATAAAATTTCATTTAGTCATATGAAATCTGCTAAAAACACAAGCAAAAGCTCTCTAATACATTTAGTTCTTGTAACTAACTCAGTACAAAATTCCATTTACTGCCTGACTGGCAACTCTAAACAGTGGTCACAATTCTGTTTTTATATATAATGGCTTTTGTAAAGCTTTCAGATTTTCAGATGCTTAGTTACTGTGTGCATTTTGCTCGTTTCTCTCAGATCCTCCTCAGAGTGTGGAGATTATTTCTGTTACCGTCTCAAAGACAGCTGGAGAATTTCAGTGTGTAGTTGATGCCAATCCACAACCAACGACATTCACCTGGAGCAGGTAATCAAGCTGAGTCAGAAAGATGGATAAGTGCATCTGCAGCACTCACAGTAAACATCTATTATAGAATAGCAGTTTATTAAGAAAGGCAAAAGCTGCACCTGGTTACAGTTCAGCATACATAAACAGCTTTCTGGTTCATGAGTAGAAGAACCATTTTCACATTTCATTTTTCTATGCTATGTAATGTTATGACCCCACGTTTTGTCTAGGGCATTGTGGGATCAGTAACGTGGCATTAAAACATTGATTATTAAGGTATAAAAGCATAAATTAATAGTCAATGCTGAGACCAACTTTATTAGGTTACTGTATTAGTCACCTTATGAACTTTGAACACATTTCTTTCATTTTGCTGCCATTAATGTATGGAAAGGCTGAAAGCAGGGCTATCAACCACTGAAGTCGTCGTCATTCTGTACTGTGCACCATGCTCTTATTCCCACATAAAGAACTCCGGATCTAAAAGGAATTGCTCTATAAGACAAATGAATGAGGTTTTCGAAAATTGCATCCGTAGCATCCTGTTCCAAATGTTATAAAGGTGATACATTTTGTCCTGTGAATGTTTTTCTCCAAATATCACTGGATCCTCTGACTTTTGAGGTTGTTAAATAGTCAAAATATGAATATTGCTACATGTAGGCTTAAGATACTACATGCTGAATTGACATCATTAGACTGGCAGTAAAGTTACAATGCAGAAACATGACAAATCTTTCTTTTCTGTTCATAGCTTACTTTGGCAAGCTCTACAAACTTACCTGAACTATGGCTGATTCAGTACACATGCACACGCGCACACACACACACATTATCTAAGCCGCTTATCCTCTTGGGTTGAGGGGGGTGCTGGAGCCTATCCCATTGGGCAGAAGGTCATTGGGCAGATGGGAGGGCATGTGTCCATGATGTATTGATCTGTGGAATTATGAGAAATGGAGTTCTGAGAGGCGTTAGGAACGGTGGATGAATCCGGAGGTGAGACAACTGCATAGCCCCAATACGCTGATACGCAGTTTTTCTCATGCCGGCCGTGGACAGGCACGGTGCCTGATCATTGTAATTTAAGTAAAGCTACTCATAAAGCATCTAAATCTTTGTGTAAATGAAATGTCAATAGTAGACTACCAAATGGCAAATTGAAATCACAGAATTTGAATTCTCATTTGAGCTCAAACTTGCATATATAAGTGGGAAATTTAAATGCAAACATACAAATACATTGACATTTTATACATTACATTTTCATTTTCATTTTGACACTAATTAATTCCATAATCTGCAAGTCAACTGAAATTAATTTAAAGCCACACAGCACAGGTTAAATAACCAAAAGCATTGTTGCAGAAAAAAACTTTAAATTAAAAAAAAAAAATTGTGCTCAAGTTATTTACTGGATGTTCTACAGCTTCATGTGTTTTGCTGTTTGTGATTATTAACGTTTTCTGTGCAGTACACTTGCAGTTCATTTGTTGTCTGCTTGTTCACCTCTACAAGCAACCAATAATTGTCTAAGTCTGCCCAACCCAGCCAGGCATAATACCCACCCATACAAGCCTGCACACTGGTTTACACACAATGACTGTGGCGCCTGAAAATGAAACCCACCCCCAAATTATTTAGCAGATCACGTGGGACCCACAGTTGAACCTGCCTTGTGCAGACCTCTACCCAGAGTAGTGCAACACTACTTGAATGTAGACTTTAAACATTAGGCTCCTTATCCCTAATTACACCAGCCAGAATTCTGATTGGTTACAGGCCCTTCACATGGCTGATGACAAAAACAGGTACACCTGGGAGAGAGCGAGAGAGAAACAGCCACAAAAAATACTTACACGTATCAATAGATTACTATCATTGTAAATCAGTGCCTATAACCACAACATACCACAGTTTTACTTAAGGTTTTATGCTTTTATTGGACATTTATTCTTGCTGAGTTTTTGAAAGATTTCACAAATTATCCAAACAGGATGTTTAAAGTAAGATTAGCAAAGGTGATGTTTGACAGGCTAATTCCTGTAGCTGTTAAGAGTAAATCTACTAATATTTGCATAGGTGAAGGCAGCTTTCCACAGTTAGGCCTACTGATTGGGTGTAAAAACCTTTGTAATGTGAAGATACTTCTCCACATTAACACTGCTTATATAGTATTTGAACACATGTTAACACGTTACTACTCCTTATAATAACAGGGTGAACAAGACTCTTTCCAGCCATGTTGATGTTGACACAATTGACAGGCTGACAATCCCACTGACCTCTGATAATACTGGGTTGTATGTCTGCAAAGCAGCAAACCAGTATGGACATGACACAGCTACCCTTAAAGTCCATATTTCCACAGGTGAGTCTCATTTGAACATATACAGGTGTGCAGTATGATCTATCAGTCATTCCAAAAGAAAGATAAGATATATTCTTACAGTCAGGCAAAGTACCCAGCTAACAGTAGATCAGTAATGCACAGCAAGCATCTTAAGTTTTAGTGGCTGGGCCAACCAGACAAACTAGTGTACCACTTACTGGACATGCTGCATATCAATATATCAGTTTATCTTATTCATATATCAGTCAGAAACCTGAAATTATGTTAAGTGAATTCAAATTAGGAAATATGAGGATGCAAGTTTTTGTGACATTTACGCTTATAAAGTGTTCAAAATGAAAATTTTCTCTTTCTCACACTCCTATTGAAGCTTCTTCCCACAAGCGATCTCTCTCTTCAACTGTTAATTATTACACATGCACAAAAATCCAACTTCTGAACTGCACTTCTTAAATATATTGGTATATATTATCACACTCAACATTTCATCCTCTGTAACTACTGTCTCAGGCCAGTGTTTCTTCTAGCACCTCACTTATATGCCTCACTTATCTGACTGTTACCTCACTTATCCCTCTCTTTGTCACAAATTCCTTCTATGTGTAAGCATACCTGGCCAATAAAGCTTGATTCTGATTCCGATTCTTTCCTTTCTTCCTCTCTCCATGTAGAATGCACTACTGTCTGTTGGACGTTGTTCATCATTCTCCTTCTCCTCCTTGGTGTTACTGCAGTTTATTTAATATGGAAATTAAATTTAATTAGGATATTGATCAAATTTACTTCAGACCTGACAGAAAGAATTAGGTGAGTTTGTCCATTTTGAATATAAAGCACAGAGTATTTATTTTAGTAAAATTTATTTTAGTAGTTTAAAATATTTTAAAGTTATTTTGGTCTCTAGAATGATGATTGCATTTATTTTGTTACTCATGTTTTGAGTCATGCTAACCCTAAAATGAGCATCATAGTACTTTTGGTAACATATAATATAAAATAAAATGATAAATAAAATATACTAAATACACCCAAAATTATTTTTGCAGTTAATAAATGTTTATTTGAATACTTCCACTCCAGGCATTTTGAGCACAATCCTGTGGCCACTGATTCAGCCAGACCTACAAGTAATGGAAGCCAAAACCTCTAGGACAGCAGTGAGCTGAAGCGTCAAACCCTTATTCACCAGGCGCAGCGTCACTAAGCTGTCAGCAAGCTGGCCTCAGACGGACTAAAGGAGTGGGGTTAGAAAGAGCCAGGGACCAGAGAAATTATGGCCAGCTTTTTTTGTCAGTTTTCTTAAAAAGTATACTTTTTATATTATGTAAGCGCATTTGTATAAGCACAGGCACAGGAGACTGTAATAGTTAATTATCAGTTATTGGAGTGCCAGTTTGGGAAATATAATGGTGTTTAATCTTAATTTTTTTTTTAGTACATATTTTAAAAAATTAAAATATGTACTAAAGAACCTAATGGTGTGCATTAATTCTTGTACGTTCTCATAGAAAGAAAGGTTTTCTCACTTTTAATAGAAGTTACACTTGTCAATTACCAGTAAAATTAAGCACACATCCTCTACAGAGATCACACTTCTGCACATTGTAATGGATAATTACTGTTTAAACTTTTGCATCTGTATGTGGATATCGGAATATAGTAGTTCTGTATTTACAACAGTCTGTTTAAAAGCTATTAGCACCAAAAAGCAAAACAAATATCAAAAATAAAATTAACTGCATCACAACAGCTTACTATGCTTAATATGTGGCCATAATGAAAAGGAAGAATGCTGCTGCCAGAGTACTAACAAAGACAAATGGATATGAACACATCACTCCAGTTCTCAGAGCACTGCACTGGCTCCCGGTCAGTTTCGGCATAGATTTCAAAATACCGCTTCCTGTTTATAAATCATTACATGAACAAGGTCCCACTTACTGATATGCTGCTAAAATATAGGCCTAAACGAAACCTCAGATCAGTGGAGTCTGACCACTTGACAGTGCCTAGAACCAGAACTAAAGATGATGAGGCAGCATTCAGCGGTTCAGCTCAGCTCAGTTTAGAACAGTGTTCATTTCTAGACCTTCTCCTCTGTAACGGCACTTTGTTATCCTAAATTAATTTAATAATAAAAAAAAAGAAATTATAAATTAGGTTTTTAATTATCTTAATATAATTTCTAATGTGATTTTTGACTGATTTTCTCATTCAAATATATCATTTTAATCATGTTTTAATGATGTTCTTAATTTCTGTTCTCTTTTTAAATGACTCTGTATTTTCTCATTTATATAGCTTTTTGAAAGACAGCAGTGTATGAAAGGTATGAATGAATAAACTTGCCTTGACTTGTCTTGCCTTGCCTTGGCTTACTGTCAGTAATATCTAGGTTAGAAAAAAAGGATCTGTAAATTCTAAGTACACTCTAAGCATTGGGTCACCAACTAAATCTGGGGGGCTTTTCATAAAGCTGGTTACCATGATGACACACATGCTCCAAAAGCAGCTGTTTACGAATTTTAAGTTTCCTTTAAATTAATTTAATGAAAATGATTCAATGAGTGTCATATGTTAGCTTGATTAAAAGATCTTTATAAATAATTGTCTAAAATGAAAGTAAAATGAAAGTAGCTTAATGCTGAAACCTACAACAGTGTGTATGATGCATGATAACCTAGAATTCTGGCATTTTATTATAAAATCTGGTTTTATTATAAATTTATTATAAATTATAATATCAGATCTCACCAATCTGTCTGCGATGACACACAAAAGACCATTTTGCTATATTTTCTGATTTGGTGGATTGCAGGCAAATTTCAAAACGACATCATCCACAAAGTACAAGACATTTCTGCACCTCTCCCTTTGGATGTTTATGACCTAAGCAGTAAAAAGGTCCTCTGTTGGCTAGACTTCCATGAGCTTTCTCAAACATGTTAAAGATTTTACTGCAACCACTCTGACCAACCACTTTAAGCACTTACACAGCTCCTTTTTCTCATCCAGGAAATAAAACTTCTGCGCCACAATTTCTGTGACGTCTCCTTCGCTGTGTAACACTGTCCTCTATTGGTTCAACAGAGTTACTGAACACAAATATAAATAAAAAGGAATAAAAACATTTAACAATAAGATATTTATAAAACAGGTTTATTTGTGTAATTATTACTACTAAATTGTAGATAAAAACATCAACAGCACAGTCTTGTTGATAATCATACATGGTTAGTTGCCCTTATTTGATTCCTTTATTTTAATACAGAGCAGCATTTTCAGGACTGGCACTTGCCAGACAAACATTATTTATTCTTTATTCTTCACTATTCCATCTGCTGCTCCAGCAGTGCTGGACTCTGGTCAGGCCTAGCCACCTCTGACAAACAACACACAAATAGAGAGCTTCGGTCAGGAAGTGTGCAGTAGTGCTGGGTGATGGGGTGATGAAACCATATATGAGCAAGAACTAACAAATAACACAACACTGAACTTTAACATGCAATAAATGTTCAGATTGGAAAAGAAAATTTATAGAACTAGATAGTACTTACATATTTTAAACAGCTTTTAAAAAAAATGTACAGTACTCTACAAAAACAGAGACCACCCAAGTCCAAGTTATTCATTTTTCAGCATCAGAGAAACAATAAAGCAGAAAGCATGTATTTAAGAGAAAGTTAAAAGAAAAAAAGCCTCAAAAACTGAATATAATTGTTTCAGTAATTAGTTCGTCCACTCTTTGCCTTTATTACAGCTTCTGTTCTTTTTTCAGAAGATTTTCAAAGAAATCTGCAGTTCATTCTTAGAAGTTGGTTGCATTTTCTGTTTCTCATGATCCAAGTTATCCCAGACACATCCAGTGGTGTTGAGGTCTGGACTCTGGGGTGGTCAGTCCATCGTTCTGAGAACACCAGCAGCTTATTTGTTTAATTTCCTTTTCTCAGTAATGGCTTCTTGACAGCTACGAAACAGCTGTGGATTTTATCAGATCTGAAGCAAGAGTGCAGTATTACAGTAAGAGAGCCAAAGTACTATTTATCTGATGGTGAGAATTTTGGTGACCTACTAGGTCTTGAATAGTTGTTGGGAGTCCTGTTTTCTTTATATCTCTTAATGATGGTTTGAACTCCATTTCTGGACTTTCCTCTTCCTGATGGATCTTAAATCTAATCTCTTAACCTCTCTAAACTTTTCCCTAATTGCTGTTTTGAATAGAAATGTAATAAATGAAGGGTGGTCTTTTGCACAGAGCTGTTCTAATGTTTTTAATAACAGTAGTAAATATTTACATGTAATGTTTTGTTCTTGTCTTCTGTTATTGACCAAGGATTAGTAAAACAATACATTTTTACGATGAAAAAGCCATTAGGCTAAAACAGAGCAAATTTTCTATACATTGCAATGTCTGAGGATTTTTCTGTACAACTGAAGTATAAATCTTGGAGTAGACTGGTAGAAATTAAAAGGAAGGTAACACAGACAGAAAAGAAGACATGTAAACTTACTGATGCATATGCCCTCACACATACACTCTCTCACAGACAGTTTCTGCAGCCCTGTACACTCTACCCTCATTCCATGCTTCCACTTACCTTTGGCATTGTTGATAGTCCTTTTAATGACATGCTCAAGTCATAAGGTGTAAGCTTTCTAATCCATTTTAGTCTACATTACAGTGTATATACCTTCTGTTCTTGTCACATTTCAATAAATGAAGCCTAGATGACATTGAAATACCATAGAATGAGTCTCTTTTACACATATTCACATTGAATATTAAGCCTTGTGGGACTGGAGCTGATGTTGTAGAGATATTCAGCATTCTTTTCAAAAGTCTTTTATCCCATATTTAACTCCAAGTTTCTCAGAGTTAAATGTTTAAACAGTGTAACTGCAGCACTGTCTAAGGTAGATACTCGACAGGGATGCAGCACAAATTCAATGCTTTTTAACACCATTTTAAGTCTTTTGTAAAGGACGAATAATACCATTTTAGCACAGAACAACACAGCAGACATTTACAGTATATCTGCTTCAAGATTTACGCATGACGTATGTTGCAGTCACTAGCCTTCTTCTTTTTCTTCTTTAGCCTTCTATTTTTCTTGTCTAGCTCCACTAACTGCTCTCTTTTCTTTGCACATTTTTTTTCTGCGTTCAACTTTATCAGTTCTGCTGTCCTTTAGCCCTTGATAAGTAGCTGGTTTCTGACCACAGCACCACTGTCAGCTGAAAAGTTTTGTGAATTAGTTTAATACACATTAGAGATGTCCAATCTTATATGCAAAGGGCTGGTGTAGTTGCAAGTTTCTGTTCCAACAAAGTTGTTAGAAAGAAAACTTGTAGTCAAACCAGCCCTTTGCAGATAAGATTGGACACACCTGATATACACAATGGCACTTGTCAAAGTGGTCCTTTAGGCATCATCTTAGAATTTCATGGTAAAAAATAAGACATTTTATGAACGTAAATTGTTAAATCTATTTTGAGACTTTTGAAGGAGCCGTGAGGACCCTGCCTGACAAATAAAGGTTGCACACTTTGAAGATAAAAGGTTTGGTTTCAGGAAACTCAAACAAAAACAAGGAAGTAGTACTTTTGATAGAAATCTGACCTTGAATAAGCTTCTACTCTTAAAATACTAAATGTAAACCACCATAATGTCTTACCAATCACAACATGACAAAACTACCTCTTGTTTAACTCTCTATGCTTTCCTTCACCATCATACCTTGAGGTTGTTTGGGTGGTGGTGAGTCCAGTCCAGCAGCATCGCAGCAAACAGGTCACCTGTGCCCACAAACACAGCATCCACCCTGGGGATGTCTATTCTGATCCGCTGCTTTTTCTTAGTGCCATCTGCCTTCACTGAAACACAAGCAGAGATAAGCAAACAGAGTTACTGACAAACTACAAACCAGTGAAGGAGAAAGTCTAAATACAGAGCATGTCTTAGTAATTATTTTAGTGTTGGGCGATATATCAAAAACATAACAACACAATACTTTAAGACATTTTCACAATAAACAATATGCAGCATCATATTTCATTTATCCTGATGTTTCATGATTTGGATACAAAAGCAAGTAAAAAATACTATCAACAACTGTGAGCACAATGATTTTTACTCAAACTTTCACACGCTGTGCTGCACTAAATCTAATAAATCCCGACTGTGGTCTCTTCGTAATGAAACCTGCAGTTGGTCAGTGCTCTTAAGTACTGACAATACCAACAATATGCTCAGAAAAGGTTAAGACATAGTATGACATAATTTATCAGGATGATGCTAAATATTATCAGACTGCCATAAATAGTGTTATTAGTGCTAGTGGTACTGCTAGCACTAATAACCTTAATACCAGTATTAATAGTCCTCTACTAAATTTGAGAGTAAGCATTCAGTCAGTTTCATGTTTCATTGGCCAGTCACAATATATGAATGTTTCTAGAGTATAAACAAGAAGCATGCGCACACACTGTAGATAACCTATGCTAATGTATTATAATTAGTAGTAATAAGCAGTAGTAGTTTATGACGTAGCTGATTTCTTTGCTCAAAGTAATGGAGCACTCACAGTCACAGTCAATTTGGCACAAAGTGCCTCACTCAAAAAGCCTGTTATCATTTGAGCCTGTACCTTTTTCTGTCCATATCCTCACTGTCTGAACAAAATCGTGTATATATTGTGTATATATAATGGTAACTTTTCAGGAGAAGAAAAATGCATTCCTAACTTAAATTGGAAGTTGATTTAAAAATATTTTAGTCCAAGTAATTTTGGGCCATTTCTATCAGTCCATTTATCGTGAACTTTTCACAAAGTGTAAAAGGCTGGTACTGTTTACGAATTACGTAAAAGAAATATTAAAGAAGTAGATAGGAAGTTTTGTCCCAACAGTGACAATATGAATACGAATGTGAGTAAGAATCTGAGCAGGCCAGTGCCAGAGCCACCAGGTACTGATCCCCCAGAGAAGAGAGCAGGTCAGAGCTGGTGATGACCACAGTGCCAGGACCCATCCCATTCAGCAGGTTCATCACCTGAGCAGATGTGACACAACCATACACGCACTTTCAGACAGCATATTATAACAGTACAATAATGTACGCTACAACAGTGCGATATGGCTGAAGATCCCTATTTAGGTATTTGGATAAAAACTGAAATAATCAACATACTCATTAAGAAATTCTCTTATTTTCAGTTACACAGCAAACTTACTGTACACTGTAGTTTGTTCCTCACTAAATGTTAATTATACTGCCATTCAATGTCCATCAGGCATACACATTCAAGACTGGTCAATACTGGAATCAGCAGATTTTTGATCCATGTAAACATGTAAATCGTCAATCAACACTGAAAGATCCGATTTGCAATATTATAATGTAAGTAATGTGAAGCAGGTAAGTGCACTCGCTCTTTATTAGAATGCTGCTGTTAAACCTCATATCAACGTCATAACATCACATAATTATGCATGACTCATTGTGTTAAATAACAAGTAACCTCTTACTTTTAATGGAGCATTTCATCTGATTCATGTTACTGAAACAGACCAGTTTGGCATTAAGGAGAAAATGATTATTGCAAGCTTGACTAATAAAAAGAACTGGAAATGTGTTTATTTAACCTGCAGTGTGTAAGCTTTAAAAATAGTTTAAAAAATTTGTAATAAAAATCAGCCCAATTTGGCTCCAAAGAAGTCAGAATCCCTCATTAGTATGAGTGCATCTCTAATGTCCACCATAAAACTAGTTACTGCTTCACAATATTACACAATCATGGGCAGTTTGCATTTCTACCTGAAGGCCTGCTGGACTGGTATTTGTTATCTTTGTAGTTTAAATGCAGTTTGGAAGGTTCTCCAAAATACTGCACAGCATGAACATTCACCTCATCTTTCTCCATGCTGATCTTTCTGTCTGTCAGCATTCTTTTAAACACAAACAGTTTATCGAAAAGACACTATTCAATTCAGAAAACATCAGAAAACATCATTGGAGACTTTACTTCTGGGTGGCAATGTTTCACACTTTTTCATGACTATTTTCAATCTAGACTGCAATGATTACAGTTTTATTTATAAATACTGACATCTAAAATGTTAGTTCAGCTACAGCAGAGACCAATATACTATACATTACAGCCCATAAACACATCTACGCAGTATTTGGCTTGTTAAATAATTGGTTTAAGCCAAAGAACTGGACTGAGATCCTGCATTATACACTGATCAGGCATAACAGTATGACCACCTCCTTGTTTCTACACTCATTGTCCATTTTATCAGCTCCACTTACTATATAGGTGCACTTTGTAGTTCTACAATTGCAGACTGTAGTCCATCTGTTTCTCTGCATACTTTGTTAGCCCCCTTTTACCCTGTTCTTCAGTGGTCAGGACCCCCATGGACCCTCATAGAGCAGGTACTATTTGGGTGGTGGATCATTCTCAGCACTGCAGTAACACTGACGTGGTGGTGGTGTGTTAGTGTGTGTTGCGCTGGTCTGAGTGGATCAGACTATTTCTTTTGATGATCAAGACACTGTTGACAGGCTCACCATCTGTGTCTAATATTTCTCAGTGATGTCATAACTGAGTGCATGTACCCGTGTGTCGTAACTATGACCAATGTGGATATGTGAGTAAATGCCACCAGGGCCGTAACTAGGGTCAACGTTTTAGTGAGGTCTATTTTGCAGAAATGTGACCTACATCTCATAGTGAATAAACTAACTGCCAAATATGAGTAATAGACCAAACGTGAGCTTCTTCAGGGTTTTTTTTACCAAATCATTGCTCTTTTTTTCACCTATCCAGAACTATTTTTATGCACCTTTTCCTTTCATTTGTTCCTTCCCCATCCCTCCATTCTTCCATAAACTGCTTTTACTCTTCCATAAACTGATTTGACTCCAGTTACCCTGTTTAGGTTTATTTAATTAATCATTTAACAAATAATTATTTATTTAGATGTTTATTTTCAGCTGAAAATACGTGTTGATTTCTTAATAAAGTTAGCTACATGATGCTATACCACCAATATGCTGGTTAACAGTGAACTTTCTCATGCTGGTTGTGTTACGTGTAGGTAACAAAATACAGCTTCAATTTCTCATCTAATCACTAATATAGCCTACTGTGGAGCCTGTAGCCTAAACTGAGCAGCTACTGGAGCTGGACTAAAACATGCTGATTTAGCCAGCAACATTACAAGCAGTCCAAACAAAATTTAAACATAGGGTTTGAATTTTACAACATTAATGTGTTGATTGCGCTCATAAACTCTTAGCTAGCTACATCTTTGTCATAGTGATGGTATATGTTAGCTTACAGCATGTGTGCTGCACACCTGAACATCTCAAGAAGTCAAAGTTAGCGTTACTCTGGTTCTCCGGGTAGCGCAGCCCAGTACGCCCAGAGATAAACAGAGCGGCCAGTTAAACCAGAGCTGGTTTATAAGGAGCCTGGCCTCTTCCTATTCCCCCCCGTTATATCAAAAACAGGACTGCTAAACAGCAGAGGGCACCCGCGAGTGAGTCCTCAATGAATGGGAGTAAATCGAACTCAACGGCTAAAAACTAAAAGTTAAAATAGTTTCTAATCACTCGCCCAGAACGTTTCTTTAATTTTAGAAAGTAGAAGGACGTATTTCACTAAAAAAAAAGAAATCTTACCTATATATTTCCTTTTTTCTACAGCAAACGTGTTTTGGGCAGCAGAAGGCGGGCTTTACTGCTAGAGCGTGATGATTGATTGGCGAGCGGAGCAGCTCATTGGCTGTTCGCGCTCACTGACGTCATGGACATACATGAGGAACCATTTTAAACTCCTATAGCTCGAGTTTAAAAGCTCTTAAAAATATAACAGCGGTGTTAAAATGTTTTATGCTGTTCTGTGTTCAGGAAATGATTGTATTCTTTTACACTAAACATGTTTAAGCATTTATAAACTATGATTTTGCTCATATCCTCCATATCAACCCATTCATTTTGGACTCGCTCGGGAGTGCCCTCTAGCGTTTGAGAAACCATTGCAGAGTGGGAATTCTCCTCTCTACAAGTTATCTGGCTGAAGTGAGTGAAGCGAGCGCGGAGCTGCGAAAAGCGAGCACACTAAACTCCCGGTGTGCTGCGTCGGAAGCGCGCAGTCTTTGTTTCTCTGCTCTCGGTGTCGCTCTTTTCGCTCGTTTTTCTGACTTACTCGATTTAACCTTGTCTTTGCGCTCTCACATTACAGACAGTAATCTCACTCCATAATTAACCCATTAGCAATATATGAATATATAACCACGTTTACCGCAGTGTTGGGTGGGTGCAAGTGTGGCTGATGGCTGTCTGGGACTTATTTGTCTGGATGAAAGACCCTTTAGATAAACGCGATGTGTTTCTTAACGCATCGTCTTCTAATGTGGGTGGTCTTATTCATTCAGCTCTGCGACACAAATACGGGTAGGTATGTGTTTAAAAACCTTTAAAATAATATTTAGTAATAGTAATAAGTATACAGTGTAGTAAGCAGTATTATTTAAGTATTTTCCACCCCTGGTTGGTTACGGCTGGTATTTAAAGCAAGCAACCTGTGTAAATACACACATAATCTTATTTACATTTAGTCTAGCTTTCACCTGGCTGCTTTTTCATGGGCAAAGTGGAGGCTTCATAATAGAACTCAGTCTAAGTCCTTGATATGGGCTCAAACCATGGAAACCAATGACAGGATTTTTACTTCTTAAGCAGCCACCTTGGAAGCATCCAACGCCATTGATATTGCTGTAATATTGTTTTACATAATTTATAATTTTTTTCTTTAATTAGATTTGTTATTTATCCATTTTTATATATTGTTTATTAAATTACTATATTGTCATAGTTTTAGTGGTTTATTGATAATTTTTTTATTTACTACTCTGATCATTATTATTTTTTAGCATTTGTTATGTTTTTACTACTGAACTTTTCAATGCCTGGTCTCTGTATTGGCTCAGCTACACTGTAAATGAGGGTCTCCCTCAGTGTACTCAGAGTTTAAATAACGGTTGGTTGGTTGATTGATAACTCTTCAAAGTGTTCACCACAGAGAAAATGAGCAGTATTGATTGGCTCTGCTTACGAGCTTTTAAACAGCAAGCCCCTAATCTTTTTATATTAATTTAATTTGGTGGGTTTTGTTTTCTTACTCTTTGTTTGTTTGTTTGTTTTTGACAGCTGTAAGGGTCATTGGTCGGAGTGCAACTGTTAAAGCAGGAGACGAAGCCACCTTGTTCTGTCAGCTGGTTGAGACAAATGAGAGACTAACACGGATTACTTGGCAAAAAAGGACTCGGAAAACACTCACAAATAAGAACTTTTTTGTCATTACACCAGAGGGGAAAACAGAAAATATAAATGGATTAGGAGTCAGAACTGAATTTATTGGGAACATTCAAGAAACGACTGGCACAATTCTTCTAAAGAATGTTACATTATTAGATGAAGGAGTTTACACCTGCATCTTCAACATATTTCCAAGTGGACCATTTGAGACAGAGATTCATCTCAGTGTTCTAGGTAAGATTGGTTATTCTTGTTTTTCTAAACCCAAATAAGCAATTAATTACAATTTTTATGTAACCTGGTTAGTTTTAACTCTTGGATATTATCATCTTGCTGTAGGAGGACTATTTACACGCCAAGTTTTTAAAAGTTCCAGAGACTTATGCTCTAAAAGTTCTGGGTTGTTTTTATTGCAGTAGATCCCATGATTGGAAATGAGAAACATTATTGCAAATGAATGTGTTGACTAATAAATACATTTTTGCTAAAGAATTTTTTGCTAAATAATATTATAAAAATCTTACTTTGTTTATCAGATTGATTGTACTGTGGCGTCAGAGCATGCCTAGGTTCTGTTTAGTTCACAAAGATAGTAGGTAGTGTGCTTAGGAAACTGTGCTTTTTTGTAATCGTTTCAGCCAGCTAACAGTTAGAGCCATGAGCTAACCTGAGTACACTGAAAATATGAAATATGTATTTTCAGTGAAAGGTGAGGTAAATTATTTGGAGAAAAACAAATTCATGTTTTTCTATATGAAGATGTAAATATTTAAAAACAAAGTCACAATTATCGGCATCCTCTCTTTCTCAGTGTAACAGCTATGGGTCTTTTCTTATATACTGGATGTGTAGAGCACTGGAGCCCACATAGTTAGAGAAGCATTGCAAGTTTGTGAGTTTGGACCATTTATCTTCCTAGAAGATCAAATCATGAAGTACTTTAAGTGACAGATGTGCTGAGTATGAACTGGGTTATAGCTGATTCCAGTTTCTTTAGTTCAGCCAATTGCTGATTTTGGGTCCAGTTTCTATGAATGGGAGATGGGGATCTAGAATGGGATTAATTTAACAGCCAGCTCAACAGAGCTTCTCCACAAGCATTCAGATAAAGGCTCTAAGTTAAAAAAATTGATGTATATGAAGAACTGTAAAACTGCAACATAGGAAGTATAGAATATTGTAGCTTCCCACTACTGGATTATGCTGCCTTTGTCAGACTTTGGAGGCGTGGCCAGGCAAAGAGGTTCATGGAAGGCGCACACTCCCCTCTCTTAAGGCACGTTTAATGTTCTTAATATTGTTGTCCGTTAGTTTAAGTTGTGTATAGGTGTTATTTGTGTTATTCTGTGTCAGGGGTTGTGCATGTTTTGTGTTGGTGGTTTGTCACTACAGGAGGTGGACACCTGGTGGCTGGTGGTCACCTCCCCAATGAGTTCAGTGCTGTGTGTGTGGCTTTCTGTTGGAGTTTAATAAGATGTTTCACTGCAGAATCATGGCTTCTCCTGTGTCTTACTCTGTGCCGACACCACAATATATTACATGTGTGTCTTACCAGCTTAATGTCAGATCTTCCATTAGTATTATTAAACCCAGTTTGGGTACATCGCCATTAATGTGGCATTAACAAAACAGAAAATTCCATTGAATGCAGACAAATAACTTAGCATTATGCTAGCAAAAAAGCCACTTACAAAGTTAATGTTTCTACGTTTAAAACTGTTGTTTACTGAAAGGTTTGCATTTACATTGGCATGCGAAAGTTTGAGCACCCCTGGTTAAAACTTCTGTTACTGTGAGCAGCTAAGCGAGTAAACGATAATCTGATTTTCAAAAGACATGAAGATGACAGATTTCTTTAACGTTTTAAGCAAGATTTCTTTTTTAATTTTCATCTTTTACAGTTTCAACATAACAAAATAGGAAAAGTGCCTGAAGCAAAGGTTCGGGCACCTTGCGTTGTCAGTACTTATTAATGCCCCCTTGCCTTTTGGCAAATGTCACAGCTTGTAAATACTTTTTCTTGCCAGCTAAAAGTATTTTAATTCTTGTGTGGTTGATTTTTTTCACCCATTCTTCCTTGCAAAAGGCTTCTAGTTCTATGAGATTTATGGGCCGTCTGGCATGCCCTGCTCTTTTGAGGTCTATCCACATCATTTTGGTGACTTTAGGTTGGGGGCCTGTGAAAGCCATAGCAAAACCTTTAGCTTGCAACTCTTGAGGTAATCCATTGTGGATTCTAGGTGTGTTTAAGATTGCTACTATTCTGTTGTGGAAGCCATCCTCTTCAGCTTTTCTGCAGACAGTGTGATGTTTGCTTCCAGAATTAGCTGGTATTGAATTGAATCCATTCTTCCTCTTTACGAGTTAAATGTTTCCCATGCCCAAAGCATGATCGGTCCACGCCTGTACTTAACAGCTGGCAAGATGTTCTTTTCGTGAAATTCTGCACCTTTTACAGTTGACAGGTCTTTTTTTTCCAGAATATATCAGGCTTGTTGAGATGTTCCTTTACAAACGTCTGATGCTCAATTTTGTGGTGAGGATGCAGGAAAGATTTTCTTCTGATGACGCTTGCATGAAGGTCATATTTGTGCTGGTGTCGCTACACACAAATCTTCCTGAAGGTCTTTTACAGTCAAAAAGACCACGTCATGCCATCCTCAAACTGACGGAATAGAACATTTCAATAAGATCCTACAAAGCATGCTACCGAAGTATGTGGCAAAAAATGGGAGCAGACTGGGACACATGGCTTCTGCATCTGCTGTTCCCATACAGGGAGGTCCCACAAGCCTCAACAGGATTCTCTCCATTTGGACTCTTGTATGCAAGGCCAAGTGATGTGGAACAGCTATAGTTGCCGGTTCAATCCTCTGAAGTGCCCTTGAACAAGAACCCTTGAGCCTAACCCCCAACTGCTCCCCAAGCGCCGTGGATGGGACTGCCAAAAGCTCCGGGCAAGTGTGCTCACTGCCCTTACTGTGCCCTTGAGCAAGGCATCCAAATCCCAACTGTTCCCTGGGCGCTGTGAATGGGGTTGCCCACTGCTCCGGGCAAGTGTGATCACTGCCCCTAATGTATGTGTTCACTAGTGTGCATGTATATGGGTGTTTCACCGCATGGATGGGTAAAATGTGGAGGTGTAATTCCTGTATGTGCATGAATTCTAGAATTCTAGAAGAGGAGGAGGAAATTAAGCAGTAACGGTCAAACTGGCAACTGGCAGTTCAGGGAGGAACCAGGGCCGACAGACATCATGTAGCACATTCATTTGACTAAAACAGAGCTGATTAGACAAATAAGCTGCAGTGTACCAGTGGTTAATCAGAGCTGAAGAAAGAAGTAGAGAATAGTTGAACCATTAAAAATCAAATGGTGCTGCCCTGTAGTTCTGGTCCCTAAAATGGACGGGGGATTAAGATTCTGTGTTAAATTTTCGAAGCTGAGTGCAGTATCTGCATTTGATCCATATCCAATTCCTAGAGCAGATTAATTGATTGAAAGGCTTAGGAAGGCGAAATTCCTAACAGCTATATATGTGTAAAGGTCATTGGCAAGTCCCACTGAACTCAACAGTGAAATAACTGACAGCTTTTTGGCTGAGTTCCCTGCAGCATACACTGATGATGTGGTCATTTATAGCACATCATGGGTGGAGCACAAGCAAAATCTGAAAGTGGGTCTTCAAAAAATTACTGAGGTTGGTAAAGGGTGAAGTCCTATTTGGATTACATCTTGGGCAGTGGAGCGATACAACCAAAAGTTGACAAGTTAGAGGCTGTTTGTGCCCGGCACCCACAACCAAAAGGAGGGTGTGATTCTTAGGTCTGGTCAGTTGATACTGCAGATTCATACCCAACTTTCCCAGCAGGGCAGCGGTACTGACAGACCTCACCAAAAAGAATAAACCACAGAGAGAAATCGACTGATGAATGTGAAACTACATTTCAGGACCTAAAGACTTGTCTGTGTTCTAAACCAGTCCTATGTAGCCTGGACTTTGATGGACCATTTATGGTCCAGACGGAGGCATCAGGTAATGGACTGGTGCTGCACTGTTGCAAGGAGAACAGGAGGACTTAAAACCCATCTTGTACATCAGCACAAAGTTGTTTTGAAGAGAAACAAGGTATTCTACTGTAGAGAAAAAGGTCCTAGCAGTGAAATGACTAGACCATAGAGCACTGCAGTGGATGCCAAAAATGCAAAAGTATAAAGCCAGACCATGGGGGTTGCTGGAGTTAGTCAAGGAGTAGGCTGAAAAGAGCCATTGTGTGTAGTCAGTTTGGCTTTGTGGCCTCCAGACATATTTATGCGCATCAGACTGATGTTTAGGCTGTGAGCATGAGAGACTGCCAGATATTAGCTGAGGAGTCACCATAGGAACCAATTTCGTTTTAAACTTCCAACACTGTTGTAAATATGTAAATATGTCCTTTACTGGGTGATCGACACTTAATAAATGACTGAGAGCACCTGAACTTACCTGGACGTGTGTGTGACATTACTTGAAGGGGAACCCAAAGCTCTTTCCTGCTCATAGCATCACATTACTGGTGACACTGTGTCTCATTACACATGGTGACGACGGGGCACCACAACACATAACCAAGCAGGGTGAAGCCATAACTTTAATGATGGGGTAGCCTGGTTAGTAGCCTGGTTAGTGATTTTACTGTCACTGCACTATAGCTGTGCTAAGTATGACATTTTCATTGATTATGTGAATTTATCCAGAAACCTGTTTGACCCCTGAAGGGTGCAGTGTATAAAAAAGACTGATTTCTGTATTTCTCCTAATGTGGATTAAAGATGCATACAATCTGCATCTTGACCGCATATTAGTTTTTCAATTTTAAATCAAGTCAAAAAAACAAAAATGGTCACTGCACTGTAGCTGATATGTGAAATTCAGGGCTATGACCATTGGTTTTGGTTGTAGGTTGTAGGTTGTATGTGGTCAAAGTTGCCAAATTTAAGGCTCTTACTGTTTATTTTCTGTTGGTTATGGTTTTTGACATTGTTTAACATTTAGTTAAAACATTAGTTTTGTTATTAAAATACGTATAGTTATTGGAATTTTTTTTTTTGTTATTAAGCTGTACTAAACAACTGAAAGGTATATTTTGTATTGTCTGTTGAAAATGGCTGATGCAGATAAAGTTAGACTTCGCATAGACTGATCTATATTCTATTTGCTTTGCATTTTTTTATACTGCCATGCACTGACATGTTTGTCTTCACTTATAGTTCCTCCTGTTGTTGGTGTGAAGACTGATGCGATTCCTGTTGTTGGTGAGTCTGAAGTGACCTTGGCCACATGCACTGCTGCTAAAGCACGGCCTGCTGCAGTTGTGTCCTGGAGTCTGGGTGCTCTGAGCGACTCTGTAAAAGTAAAGACCAACATTTCTGCAGACCCTGATGGATCCTTCACTGTCAGAAGCTTCCTGATTGGTGAAGCATCCAAAGATCTAAACCAGCAGAAGGTTCAGTGTTTGGTGAACCACACCACCCTGAATGAGCAGCTGATACTGGACTACGCTCTAATTATCCATTGTAAGTCACTGTCAGCATTTTTTTTCCTTTTGTCAGCATTTCAGAAGCTAAGAGGAGCAAAAGTATACAGAGGCAGGTCAAACTAAGATGATTTTTAACTATGTGTGTACCAAGAAACTCATGAAAGGCATTTATTAAATTTTATTAATTAAAAACTTTATTTGCTCATGTAAACTCTTCAAGACTTAAGAGCACAGAAGGCACAGAAACGCTCCATTGCATTTCTTGTAAACTGGCTATACAGCTTAGCATTCTTTCTTATTGTTAGCTCCCTATAATGTTTAATTTAGGAATAACCTTATGTATGTTTTCAGATGTGACCATCTTTTTGCTTGCTATTTTTTGGATAGTTATTGTTTGCCTTTTTTTGCTCTTCTTCTCTCAGATCCTCCTCAGATTGTGTCTATTATTTCAGTCAATATTCCAGCAGCATCGCAAGAATTTCAGTGTGTAGTTGATGCCAATCCACAACCTGCGAAGTTCATCTGGAGCAGGTAATCTGATCCTATTTAACACCCTGATGGTTGGGCAGCTGCAGCACTCACAGTGGACATGTGTTATAGATTAGATGATAGATGAAAGGCAAAAGCAGCACCTGATGCAGCTCAGCCTCCAGAAATAGTGTTCTGGTTTCTCCTTCATGAATTGAATAGTCTTTTTCATTTTTTGCGTTTCATGTTTTACTGACTATTGCTATTATGGGTCTTTTATGCTATTATGGTTTTATTTCATCTCAATATGACAAGGTAATTTAACATTATATTCAGAGCAAGATGAGCCAGTATGATGTTTGCTAGCCACTGTTCCACGACTGCTAAAGTACACAATGCTGAAGGCAGATTTCAGTAGATATCTAATCAGCTGATGAATAATCAACTGCAGAAGAGTGAAATTCAGAGCATCTGTTTGCTTATTTTTACTGATTCGATTTGTTGACTTTTTTATCTGTCACATTAGCTCTGCACATGCAGTACTTTTGTGCATAGGAATATTAACACATTATTACTTTTTGTACTAACAGGATAAACAGGAGTCTTTCCAGCCGTGTTAATGCTGACAGGCTGACAATCCCACTGACCTCTGATAATAATGGCTTGTATATGTGTAATGTTTCAAACCAGTATGGAAATGGCACAGGTACCCTTTATGTGAATGTTTCCAGAGGTGAGTCTCATTTGTATTGATGTAAAAATAGACTATATATGATTTATCAGTCTTTTCTATAGAAAACTGAGAGATGTACTTTGCAACGTACTCTATGTGATGGCAGTTCAGTCCAATGGTTCACCGTCATAAGTTTAAGCTCAGTCAAGCCATGCAACATTTATTGGCATCAGAAACTGCTTTAAAAAAGTCAGTATCTGTATTTAAGCCTGGGGATACGTAACCTTTGCTAACAAACATGTGGATGCAGGTCGCAGTAACTTTATATCCGTGGGTGCTTATAAGCCACAAATACTAATTAGAGCTGAAAATACTGTCATCTGTTTATAAAGTGTTAAAAGAAACACAAGCTTTTTCTCTTTCTCAGTCTTTTTTCCTCTTCCCCCCTTTCTTCCTCTCTCCATGTAGAATCCACCACTGTCTGTTGGGTTTTGTTCACCTTTCTCCTCCTTGGCTTTATTGCTGCTTGTTTAATGGAATGGAAATTTAACATATTTGAGAGATTGAGAACATTACTTTCAGAACTGAGAAACAGAATTGGGTGAGTTTGTTCATTTTTCAATATAAAGCACAAAAAGTAGAGCCTAAAATGTTCAATTGTTAAGTTATTTTGGTCTCTGGAATAGTAATGGCATTTGTTTCTCACTCACACTAATCTAAAATGAGCATTACAGTTCTTTTGTTAATAAATCATCCCACAAAATGATTTTTAATTCAAGACCCTGCAAATAATAATAAACAATAAACAAATAATAAATGAATGTGCCACTAATTTAAATGCATCCACTCTAGGCGTCCTAGGCATGATCCTGTGTCTACAGGTGGTTCCACATCACCCTCAAGCAATAGAAGCCGAAACCACCGAGACAGGAGTGGAAGCCAATAAGACTGTGAGAGCTGCCTCTCCAACGGGACCATACCTTGTCGCGGTGGAGAGGCTTTTACACTACCAGTCAAAAGTTTGTGTGTGTTAACTGGTAGTGTCCTCTAGCTTCTACTTACAAGAACTGCTCTCCTAACATTAGAAGAAGCTGCGAGGTAACGAAACGGTCCCATATATTTTGCTGTGTTTTTTACGGTAGTGTTTCACTTTTGAACTCTCCACTGATTCATACTTCTGTTACCTGTGTTTGCATCAAATTGTTGATTGTCAGTCTTCATTCTTGGGAGATTTGAATCCTGTCATAAAAACCTTACTGACGTAAGACGACCACAGTTGTTGTCGTAAACCAACTGTGAGTGCTTTGCTCCTGTCCCCAGGAAGTGTCATAAAATGCTGTTATTGTTCAAACCACAAGAACAATATGGAGGTGGCTTCTTAAACCCTTCAGCATTAACAGTTAAAACAAAGGGTAATAAACAGCAAAGTAGAAAATAAATCAAAGTAAAACAATTGTCAAAACAACTTAGGCTCAGAAGTATCTTGGTTAGAAAAAAATAAGCTTTGAGTCATTTGAGGTAGATATTTTGAGGCTGTTCTGTGCGGGTGACAGAGCACTGCTTCACATTAGCCAGCTGATAAAAACAGTTAGCCTGGGAAGCTAGCATTGTTCCACTCTCCCATGCTATACATACAGCATCCTCAGTTTACTTTTCCTAAAATCAGTGCTGTAACAAGCATGAACCCACTTTCTTTCACTTTTGTTGCTTGGGAATGCACTAATACTAAAATATAACCGTTTGAGGGCTGTAACACACAGACCACTTCAGCTGTAGTTGTGAGGAGCAGACATGATTTAATGCTGCCAAAGCTTGTTAGGATGTTAAAAGTCAGTTTGCTCTAGGCCAGTACACTTATCTTGTCACTCACTCTTGGTCACAGGAGAACAGATCACTGATTGCTCCCTTCAGACAGGGAAGGTATAACCCCATGATGACATTATCCCATGTTTTTGAGTAGTCTGTCTGCCTCTGCAAAATGCTGGCTACCCATGTAGGTACTGCCTCTTAAAACCATAAAACAATGGCCATTAATTTACTCACATAGACTAAATATATACATGTATATACGCTATATGGACAAAAGTATTGGGAGACCTACACTTTACACCTACAGGAGCTTTTATGACAATCCATTCTAAATCCATAGGCATTAATATGGAGTTGGTCCCCCCTTTGCAGCTATGATAGCTTCCACTCTTCTGGGAAGATCTTGGAGTGTGTCTGTGGGAATTTTTGCCCATTCATCCAGAAGAGCATTTGTGAGGTCAGACACAATATCCATTCTAGTTCATCCCAAAGGTGTTCGATGGGGTTGAGGTCAGGGCTCTGTGCAGGCCAGTCAAGTTCTTCCACACCAAACTCACCCAGCCATGAGTTTATGGACCTTGCTTTGTGCACTGGGGCTCAGTCAAGCTGGAACAGAAAAGGTTCTTCTCCAAACTGCTCCCACAAAGTTGGAAGCATAGAATTGTCCAAAATCAGTTGGTATGCCGAAGCTTTAAGATTTCTCATCACTGGAACGAAGGGGCCTAGACCAACCCCTGAAAAACAACCCCATATCATTATCCTCCTCCACCAAACTTTACAGTTGGCACAATGCAGTCAGGCAGGTAATGTTCTCCTGGCATTCGCCAAACCCAGACTCGTCCATCAGACTGACAGATAGAGAAGCGTGATTCGTCACTCCACAGAATACGTTTCCACTGAGTCCAGTAGCGGCATACTTTACACCACTCCATCCAACGCTTGGCATTGTGCTTGGTGATTGGGCATGGTGCAGCTGCTTGGGCATGGAAACTCATGCCATGAAGCTCTTGGCACACAGTTTTTGTGCTGATGTTGATACCAGAGGAGGTTTGGAACTCTGCAGTTATAGAGTCAGCGGAGCGTTGGTGACTTTTACACACTATGTGGCTACAGCACTTTGTGACAACTTTATGTGGTCTGTCACCTCAGTTGCTGTGGGTCCTAAACCCACTTTTCAATAATAATAATAATAATATCACTCACAGTTGATTGTGGAAAATCAAGGAGGGAAAAAATGTCACAAACTGACTTGTTGCAATGGTGAAATCATATTACAGTATCACACTTGAATTCAGAGAGCTCTTTAGAACGAACCATTCTTACACAAATGTTTTTAAAGGCAGACTGCATGGCTAGCTGCATAGGACTGAATGAAACACCTGAATTCAATGATTAAGAGGTGTGTCCCAATACTTTTGTCCATATAGTGTGTGTATATATGTCGCATTTCATAAAGTACACTATAAAAAGTGGCTCATCAGATTTACGTTAAAAAAATTACTTCATGTAGTAACACGTAAATTACCAAATTTTATTCAACCTAAATAAATACTTTGAATGAACGATTCTTTCAATCAAAGTAGGTCTTTAAGTTGAATAAAACTAGTTCAATTGCTTGTTACCACATTAAGTAATTTTTTTAAGTAGATCTGATGAGCCACTTTTTACAGTGTAGAAAATGCCACCAGGGCTGTCTCTAGAACATGGAAGTGTGAGAATGGTCTATTATATTGAACATTTATCAAACATTTCTTATAGGAAAGCTAAATTGCGATAATTATTGTTATCGTTTTATCGCCCAGCCCTGGATATGCCCGAATGAGGGCTATATTTCTAAGCAGACTGCCTAATTTTGTTAACAGGCTAATTAAATGATGATGTTATGTTATATCCATAATTGCACCTGGAGATTTTTTTACATGGGCAGAAGAAGCAACACTTTATCAACAGACAAAATAACATAGTAAGCAGACTCAACAGTGGACTTAGGGCCAATTATTTATTTTCACAAAACTTTGTACACTCTTACTCTTTCAGCAAGTGAATGTCATACAAAGGTCAAACTTCATGATGCACCTGTGTAACTATGCAAACAATAGCAGCTTTATATCCTCAAAACATGGCTGATACCAGCCTGTCAACATTCAGTAGGCAAAAGACAGGATTAAAATTAGGGAAAGTGGTGAAACTTTGCTGGAATGTGTAGCTATGCACTGTATAAAAATGTATGTAAATAACAAGGCATGCACACGGCTTTGACTAGCTATGAGAACACCGAGGTCCGAACCTCAGTAGTTTCAGAGAGTTTGTTTCATGTATTTCATTTATTAGTTTTAATGTAGAAACAGCGCCATTCGGATAAAGTGGTAGCCTACTCAGGACTTATCTGCACCCATCATGTTTGTAATTAACACGAGGACACCTTGGTAGTTTCAAAAAGGTTTATGAGATTCAATGAAGAAACAGCAAGGATACCCATTCAGTAGTGATCGGTTCTCAGGTGGCCTCAGAACGAGACAGTTAGTTACAGATTTGATGTTGATATATTTTTACTTGTCTGTAAGTCACTCAGTGGCTTATGACTGAAATATATCTCTGAGCTATTTGAAAAATACAAACCTAACAGTTATGCCCTAGATTTGGCCAACTTAAAATCCAGACTAAAGACACCTACTTTTTAAATGTTAGAACTGTTATTCTAAGGACTGATTATTATCTCAGAGGTTTTCTTCTACTTTCAAGTATAACTTATTGATGATCCTCCTCACTTAGGGTGCTGGAAAAGACAATTATTCATTGATTATCCTAGATTTAAATCAACTCTCCTGGAAAGTAAACGTTATACCATGAATGGACACCTTACAGGTGGTGATCTTTGCTTAGTTGGTTGGAAAAGACTTGAGTTTGTCTTTATTTTCTTCTGCTGTTTATGCTTTATTTACATAAAGCACTTTGAATGGCCTTTGTAAATAAATGTATAAAATGCAAATAAATAAACTTGCCCTGCCTTGCTTTGCCTTATGTGTCTTTCTGCTCTGTTTCATTCTGCCTGCCATTTGTCTTCGATGTCTGACTTTTATTGTTAACAACAAAAACAACCCACCCATGCATCCAGCCTGTCCCCCTGCTCAGACGCTACAAATTCAAAGTGGGACACTTAAGCTTAATCCTCTATTCCTTAATGCATTTATACTTCATCAATCAGAAATCATTACAGAGTTCATCTTTTGGAATTTTTGTGGTTCTATGTTTGAGATGTCACTTTTGTGAGTGGAACATCCATCCATCCATCCATCATCTAAACCGCTTATCCTGGGTCGCGGTGGGGTGCTGGAGCCTATCCCAGCTGTCATTGGGCGGAAGGCAGGATACACCCTGGACAGGTCGCCAGTCCATCGCAGGGCAGACAGACAGACATACACATTCACACCTAGGGGCAATTTAGCATGTCCAAATGGCCTGACTGCATGTTTTTGGACTGTGGGAGGAAACCGGAGTACCCGGAGGAAACCCACGCAGACACGGGGAGAACAGGCAAACTCCACACAGAAACGACCCTGGTCACCCAGCCGGGAATCGAACCCAGGCCCTTCTTGCTGTGAGGCGACAGCGCTACCCACTGCGCCACCGTGCTGCCGTGAGTGGAACACTCAATTTTAAAACCAGCATCATGAAAATTCATCATAAGTAAAATAACAGTCAAATTATGTTAAGGTTATAAAGAAGTAAAGCTGGATTTAGGGTTTGTTAAATGTTACCTATATGGAAGTGGAACGTAAGAGTACAGCAGAAAAAATCCACAAGACCCTAAAGTTCAATAATTATTAAAACCATTGACTTTCATCTGTAATACGGCTGCCATATGGTAATTAACCCCTCTGAATTATTGCAAATTTGGCTAAATATACTGTAACTCATGTCATGTCAATTCTGGCACATTTACATAATTAAAGGGTGCTGCAAAATGCTAAATAACTTTTTCTCAGCATCTATACATCTGATCAAGCTGAAATTTGCATACTGCATATTTGAGACATATTGTGTGTTTCTAAGAATGATAACTTAAAATTGATGGCCATCATCAGCCAATCAGCTTTCAACAAGCATTTTGCAGGCTTAAGATTGACCAATAAGCATGAAACTTGATTGGCGTGTCTACCTGGGCGCTGTCTAATAACCAATGAAGTTTCCAATGATTTGGCCACTGGAAAATGAAGTATCTGTTGTGCACATTTTTACTTATGGTCAGATAACTGGTTTCACATAATGCATTACGCTGTCCCAAAAAAATGGAATTACAAGTGTATTTTTAAAAAAATTATGTATGTGTATTTTATTTTGTAATTTTTGCAATTTTCTTCCCTAGGTTTTGATTACAATTTTTTTAAATTGGTCTTGAAAAGTAAATAATTATTAAAAAAATATTTTTTATTGAACCTTGTCTCCCTCTGTCAACCAGTCATTCCAGCCTTATATAATTGCTTTAACTAAAAAAACCTGGTCTGATCATCTCAAAATTTAAAACACTATGTACAATGAGACTTTGATGAGGTGTGCAGATTGGCCCATTTTGGGGGATTATGGCACTCAAAAACACTTCAAATCTTTAGCTGTCCTATTGCAATTATAGTATGTAGTCTACAGACAAACAATCAGTGCCATGTGTGACTGTCCTGAATAACTTTGCAATTACATGTTATGTCAGAAATTAGTCTTTTTGTCCAGTTTTTTGACTTATTCTATCAAAGACTACAGCTTATTATAGCAACTCAAAAGGTCATGAAGAATCAAACCATTTGTAAGAACGCAGTTGATAGACAGAACAAGCTGCCCCGATGAGACCTAGGAAGAGTTGTGTTTACCTCAGAGTTGTGGACCTTTACGCATACCCACCTGGTATGCCTTTTGCCAATTAAGCAAATGGTGCAACAGATGCTTTTAGTCTATACATAGGGCTAGACAGGAATTATTGTCCAGAATGTTCTGGGTACAGCTTTAGGTTTCAGCAAACACCAACACAGATCACTTACATGTTATAACACACAATGCTGAATAGAATATTATATGAAGCATATAATACCGCAGATCAGTCTTACCAACAAACGGCCCAAACTGCATTAGGCCTTTCTAGACCTTACTGGCCCAAAATGTACTGTAGTTTTGAAAGTGGAATGTTTTCCCATTCTTGCTAGGTATAGGACCAGTTTAGATACAGCCCAGTTTAGCACCCAAACTCTTTTACTACGGAGCCAGCTGTTGTAATACATGCAGAATGTGGTTTGGCATTGTCTTGCTGAAGTAAATAAAGCCTTCCCTGAAAGAGATGTCATTCGGATTGCAGCATATGTGGCTGCAAAAGCTAAATATATCATACAGCATTATTGGTGCTTTCACAGATGTACAAGTCACCCATACCATGTGCACTAATGGACCCCCATTTCCTTTATGGATGCTGGCTTTTCAACTATGCACTAATAACAATCCTCTCCTCTTGATGCAGCATCCATGATTTCCAAAAAGAATTTCAAGTTTTGATTCTGCGAACCACAGTACACTTTTCCACTTCGCTTCAGTCCATTTTAAATGAGCTCGGGCCCAGAGGAGGTGGCATTGTTTCTGGATCCTGTATAGGATGGTTTCTTCTTTGCATAATATCGTTTTTACTTGCATTTGTGGATGCAGCAATGAACCGTGTTCACAGACAGTGGTTCTCAGAAGTGTTCCTGAGCTCATGCAGTGATTTCCACTACAGAAACATGCCTGCTTTTAATACAGTGCTGCCTGAGGGCCCGAACATCATGGCCAGCCAGTATTAGTTTTCAGCCTTGTCCCTTGCACACAGAGATTTCTCCAGATTCTCTGATCTTTTAATGATATTATGTACTCTAGATGATACTATTTTACATTGAGAAATGATATTCTTGAATTGTTGCACTATTTGCCTGTGCAGTCTTTCACAGAGTGGTGAAGCCCTCCTCAACTTTTCTCTGGGATGTTCTTTTTGTTTTTATTTTAAACATGGCTTTTGTTATTGATTTTGACTAGAAAGTATCTTTCATACCCTCTCCTGAAAATTGGCAATCAGCTTATATTTCCTTCATATTTAAGTTTTTCCTGCTTTAACCCACCCACTTTTAGTTAGTAAAGGCTTGTTAATTAGCTGATGAATTGAACCAAATGTCCTAGACCAGAGATAACACTAACATTGTCAGTGCAGGGGACTCCAGGATTAGGTGTAAGAACCACTTTGTGTTTTCATTCTACAATATACTGACATGTTTATCTTCACTTTTAGTTCCTCCTGTTGTTGGTGTGACCACTGATATGATTCCTGTTGTTGGTAAGTCTGAAGTGATCTTGGCCATGTGCACAGCGGCTAAAGCACAGCCTGCAGCAGATGTGTCCTGGAGTCTGGGTGCTCTGAGCGACTCTGTAAAAGTACAGACTAACGTTTCTACAGACCCTGATGGATCCTACACTGTCACAAGCTATCTGATCAGTGTAGCATCCAAAGATCTAAACCAGCAGAAGGTTCAGTGTTTGGTGAACCACACCAGCCTGAATGAGGTGCTGAGACTGGACTACACTTTAATCATCCATTGTAAGTCACAGTCAGCAGCCTGACTGTCACACACTCTAGAGCTATAGACAGTGTGAATGTGTAAATGTGTAAAGCTTTCAAAGTATCTCTTACATTTATATTTTAATAGTTATTGTTCATCTTGTTGCTCCTTTTTTCTCAGATCCTCCTCAGGTTGTGTATATTATTTCAGTTAATGTTCCAACAGCATCTCAAGAATTTCAGTGTGTAGTTGATGCAAATCCACAACCAGCAAATTTCACCTGGAGCAGGTAATCAAGCCAAGTCTTTTTAACACCTTGAAGAATTAATAGGTACAGCTGCATTAGACATCTATTACAGTTGATCAGTTAAGGCAAATGCAGCAGCTGCTTACAGCTTAGCATCAAAAAACATTTTGGAGTATTTTCATGTTTTACTTTTTTATATAATACAGAGTGCCATTATTGTCGTTCAGTGCCTACAACCACAACTACTGCTTACTACTTATACTTACATACTTTGTTCTAAGGTTGTACTGGACATTTCAAAAGATCAATGATAATAAGATTAAAGTGATCAGTGATAATAAGATTAAATCTACTTCTATATGCATAGGTGGAGACAGCTTTTCACATTGATTTGGGGTTGGGGTGGAGGGGGGCGGGGGGGTTTACAATGTGAAGATCCTCTACCACATTAACACTGACTACATAGTATTTGAACATATATAAACATATTACTTCTTGTAATAACAGGGTAAACAAGACTCTTTCCAGCCATGTTGATGCTGACAGGCTGATAATCCCACTGACTTCTGATAATAATGGCGTCTATATCTGTAATGTTTCAAACCAGTATGGAAATGGCGCAGGTACCCTTTACGTGCAAGTTTCCAGAGGTGAGTTCCATTTGTACATATATAGATATGCAATATAATCTATGAGTCATCGCATGAGATGAGATGAGACATATTCTTACAGTCAGGCAAAGTACCCAACATAACAGCAGATTAGTAATGCATGGCAAGCTTCTAAAGTTTCAGTGGCTAGGCCAACCAGGCAAACTGGTGCACCTCTGCATATCAGTACATTAGTCTGTAAATGTTGGAAACCTGAAATTATACTAGATTAATTTAAGTTGGAAAATATGAGAATGTGAGTCTGACTTTTAATTGTGGGTGCCTATAAGCCATGCCTTGCTAATTATACCGTCGTGACCTGCTACCTGCTGGCACTGGCCTCTGAAAGCTCATGAGGCATGCTGAGGGCCAAGCCAGGAGGATCATGGGTGACGCAAACCCTCCTAAAAAGGGGCTTATTGTGTTGTTTATGTTATTTGTTGTTCAGTTAAAAGAATATGTATGTATTTTGTGTTATTTAGTGTCAGGGCTCTGGGTTATTGGTGTGTTTTGTGTGTGACAGCAGGTCGCTGTCAGGGTGAAGTATGTGGCTAGTGGTGACCTCTCCCTATGGGTTCAGTGATTGGCATGTGCCTTTTGTGCTGTTGTTTCGTAAAAGAGCATTTCTCACAGCAGAATCATGGTTATGTCATCTACCTATGTCTTACTTTATGCTGATGCTACAATAGAAGTTTTCTCTTTCTCAGTCTCACTCTTTTCTTCCTCTCTCCTTGTAGAATCCACCACTGTCTGTTGGGGTTTGTTCACCTTTCTCCTCCTTGGTTTTATTGCTGCTTGTTTAATGGGATGGAAATTTAACTTAATGGAAAGATTAAGAACATTTATGTCAGGACTAAGAAACAGGATTAGGTAAATTTGTTCATTTTGAATATAAAGCACAAAGAACAGATTTCTTGAAATGGTCTAAAATATTTTGGTTTATAATAATATAATATTTTGGTCTAAGTTATTTTGGTCTCTGGAATAGTAATGTCATTCATTTCTCATTCATGTTTTGAGTCCTGATGAAATAAAATGAGCATCACAGTACTTTTGAAACACCCAACAAAATGTTTGATTCAAGATCCAGCATGTCATGCTAATTTGAATGCATCTACTCAAGGTGTTCTAAACATTCTGCAGTCACTGATTCACCTACAAGTGATGAAAGCCAAAACCAAGTGACAGCACTTATCTGACTTGACTGGAGTCAAGAGCAAGAGGTCCTGTGAGACTGTCTTACTCTATTACAACTTACTCTAATACAACTCCAATAACCTGGAGGTGGGACAGGCACTATAGCAGAAGAGGAAAGCAAGCAGAACTGGTCACAACACTGAACCCTCATTCACCAGGCAGTCTCACTAACACTGGGGCATGTACTGGAGAAAGAAAAACTATTGAGCTACTTTACTGATAACAGCCACCATCACAACAACACCCACACACTAAATATGTTATATTACACATTATGTTGCAATGTTTTCTAATACCACTGTGGGAGAGACAAGCTGTGGATGGCTTTAAAGAAAAAAATATGCTACCCTACTCTCTAAAGCAAATGCATTTGGCTACAGTAATAATTGAAACAAAAACTACTCTATGCCTCCCTAGTCAACAATTGAAATTACATGGGGCGGTGTCTGCTATCCTAGTGGGAAGCTATACAGAGTAGAATCAAACAGGGTGCAAAATGCACAGATGTGTCTCTTTTACCTGTTTGAAAGCCCCAAATAGGACAAATATACTCATACAGCCTTTTGTAAACATATGTTAGTGCTGGTAAGAATACTGAACATGAGCACGTCCTCAACACAAATGGTGCAAAGGAACAAAAGTAACTCAAAGTAACCTCATGTAGGCATTTAGGGTATGCGCTAGTGATAATACCAAAGCTTCAAAGCTTGTGTCGAGCTTGCTAGTCTGTTTCTGATGAAGCACTGTGCCAAGCTTTGCTAATGATGATTGGACCAGTTGGATGTTTCGGCAGGAAAATCACCTGACTGGGCGATTGCCTGACTTGGTTTAGGTGTTGTTTGTTGTGTACACAGTATTTCTCATCGAAAGTCTTTTGGTGGGTGGGCAAAATATGGGCTGGTTGGCCATGATTTTTTTTAAGTATATAAAATAAATAAACTGGATTGCTTAATGTTCACCATCACTTTCATATTATGTATTTCATATTTTATATCATGGATGTGTTATATATTATGTATTTGTATTAGCACAGGCATGTGAAATGGTAATAAATAAATATTAGTTATTAAAGTGCCAATGTAAAAATGTAATTGTTGTGCAGTATTCCCACTATCTCAAGGCTAAGAGCACATTTAATCTCATGTTTCTCTTCATTGTGTTTATGGAACTACTAACTGTTTTCTATAAAAACCCTTTTCTATAAATGTTGCATTTGATAGCTGCATGAGGGCAAACAAATCTGTACATTAATTTAAATATTAAAAGATCCAAATGCTGTGTATAAATGGGCAGTTCTTGTGGGCTCTCACAGAGGGGATTGTATTTTTGCAGGTAAGATATTCTCATTGTTATTAAAATAATTACTGAAAGCTACACTTGTCAATAACTAGTTAATAAAATGCCTTAAAGCATTGCAAAATAAAATATTCAAAGTAAATAAAGTTCATCTGATGTTTTTACACACAGTGGTTATGGAGCTAATGATATTTTCTAAGACCTATTTCTATTATTGATTTGGATATCAAAATATTTAATGCAACAAAAAAAAATCTGTGCAATGATCTACTCCTGAAATAAATGTATTTTGTTATGGTGGGAAGGGGGTGTGTGTGGTTTTGTATTAACACAAAAATGTCACAGAAAATGCAAAACAGCTGGTGCAAATCAGTTCTGTGGTCTTACAAGGGTGAATATGTAAGCTGGGTTAGCTACAAATGTCTGTAGTGCTGACACTGAGTGTGTTATATCTAATTTCTTTTTTGAACAGATCTAAACAATGTGTCCACACAGAAACACAGAACACCATTTTGCTGGTGTCATAACAAAACAATAGCTGTGCTACAACATATTTTGTGTGTACAAATCCTACACTCATCCTACGCTGTGAAAGTGGGAAAGAGAGTTTAATAGGTCTAGCTCTGGCTAACAAGAAAGAATTTTGCTAGGAGATAGCTTCAGCCTGAAGCGAATCATCATCATCATTATCATCGTTATCATCATCATCCCACATAGTGAAATAACTTTTAAGTTTTAAAGGCTCTAATACCAGTCTGTTCAACAAATCTCTGCACTTCCACATCTATCCCTTCCAACTGGGAAAATGTAAGTAGAACCATTTTTCTCATCCGGGAAATACACCTGCCCTCTACTGCCTGTAACACTGCCCTCTACTGGCTCAACAGGGTTACTGAACAGAAATAAAAAGGATATAATGAAAACATTTAACAATAAGATTTAAACAGGTTTATTCATGTAACTATTACTACTAAATTGTGGATGAAATGATCTTAACAGCACAGTCTTAAATGCCCTTATTTGATTATTTTAATACAGAGCAGCATTTTCAGTCGTTCTGTCAGTCTGGGAATGCATAGGGTTTTGAAGAGATGAATCACAAAACCAAGAAAAAAGGACAAATCGCTGAATGTTAACACAGATGACATATCATTACTGGACTGACAGCTCACAGAACGCTGTTTATGCTGTTCCTGTTAGAGTAAGAATGGTTCTGTAAGTCTCCAGGTTCTGTAACTCTGTAATAAACTATTCAAACAGGTTGTGGTGAGAGTCAACGGTCTTACTTCAGCATGTGTGGTGATAATGATGGCTGTTAAACAATTTCAGAGGCTTTTAAAAAAAGAGAAATCATTACAATAAAAAAAACTTCCATGAACAACATTCAGAAATGAATATGTCTTATGAGTATGACAGAGTGAGGGCTCTGACTGGAGAAGTTGGATGGATACACACTTCACTGCAGCACTGTCTGAGGTAGATACTCGACAGGGATGCAGCACAATTTTTACAAATTTAATGCTTTTTAATACCATTTTAAGTCTTTTGTAAAGGACAAATAATACCATTTTTAGCACAGAACAACACAGCAGACGTTTACAGTATATCTGCTTTGAGATTTACACATGACATTTGTTGCAGTCACCAGCCTTCTTCTTATTTTACTTGTCTAGCTCCAATAACTGCTCTCTCTTTTCTTTGCACATTTTTTCTATGTTCAACTTTATCAGTTCTGCTGTCCTTTAGCACTTGATCAGTAGTGTGTTTGACCACAGTAACACTGCCAGCTGAATACTTTTGGTCAGGGGGACTATTCTGAATTAGTTTAATACACACTAGAGATGTCCAATCTTACAACTTTAATGGAACGAAAACTTGCAACTACACCAGCCCTTTGCAGATAAGATTGGACACCCCTGATATACACAATGACACTTTTCAAGGCAGTGCTTTAGGCATCATCTTAGAATTTAATAGTAAAAAATAAGACATTTTATGACCCTAAATTGTTAAAAAATTGTTATTTTGAGACTTTATACAACTTTTGAAGGAGCTATGAGGACCCTGCTTGAGAAATAAAGGTTGCACACTTTGAAAAACAGGTAAAAGGTTTAGTTTCACGAAACTGTGCCTTAACTGACCTTGAATTAGCTTCTATTGTTAAAATACTACATGTACAAACCACCATAATGTATTACCAATCACAACGTGACAAAACTACCTCTTGTTTAAATAAACACATTTCCAGTTCTTCTTATTAATCAAGCTTGTAATAATCATTTTCTCCTTAATGCCAAACTGGCATTTTCAATTGGCTCTCTATTTTAGTAACATGAATAAGACAAAGTGCTCAATCAAAAAATAGTCATGTATCAAAAGTCATGAGTCATGCATAATTATATGTGATGTTATGACAATGATATACAGCCGGTGAAATAAGTATTGAACACATCACCAATTTTCTAAGTAAATATATTTCTAAAGGTGCTATTGACATGAAATTCTTACCAGGTGTCGGTAACAACTCATCCAATCCACACAGAAATCAACCAAAGATGTCCATAAATTAAGTTATGTGTAATAATGAGAAATGACACAGGGAAAAAGTATTGAACACGTGAAGAAAGAGAGGTGCAAAAAGCCATGGAAAGTCATGACACCAGCTGAAATCTATCAGTAATTAGAAAGCAATCCTGACACTTAGTGCAAATTAATATCAGCTGGTTCAACTGATGGCCTATAAAAGGTGTCTCATTACCAAGGTGCCACACAAGAAACATCTCATGATGGGTAAAACCAGAGAGCTCTCTCAAGACATTTGCAACCTTATTGTTGCAAAACTATATAAAAATACTGATGGCATTGGTTACAGAAGAATTTCTAAACAACTGAAGGTTCCAGTGAGCACTGTTGGGGCCATAATCCGGAAGTGGAAAGAACATCATTTTACCATAAACCAGCCATGACCAGGTACTCCCCGCAAAATTTTAGACAGAGGAGTGAAAAGAATTATCAGAAGAGTTGTCCAAGAGCCAAAGACCACTTGTGGAGAGCTACAGAAAGACCTGGAATCAGCAGGTACAATTGTTTCAAAGAAAACAATAAGTAATGCACTCAACCGCCATGGCCTGTATGCACACTCACCACGCAATACTCCATTGCTGAAGAAAAAGCATGTTGAAGCGCGTTTAAAGTTTGCTCAACAACATTTAGACAAGCCTGTGAAATACTGGGAGAATAAAGTCTGGTCAGATGAGACCAAAATTGAACTCTTTGGATGCCATGATACACCCCATGTTTGGAGGTCAAAAGGCACTGCATACCACCCCAAAAACACCATACCAACAGTGAAGCTTGGAGGTGGGAACATCATGGTGTGGGGCTGTTTTTCAGCATATGGCACTGGCATGCTTCATATAATTGAAGGAAGGATGAATGAACAAATGTACCGAGACATTCTTGATAAAAATCTGCTGCCATCTACCAGGATGATGAAGATGAAACGAGGGTGGACATTTCAGCAAGACAATGATCCCAAACACACAGCCAAGGAAACTTTCAATTGGTTTCAGAGAAAGAAAATAAAGCTGCTAGAATGGCCCAGCCAATCACCTGACCTGAATCCAATTGAAAATCTATAGAAGGAACTAAAACTCAGAGTTCATAGAAGGAGCCCATGGAACCTTGAGGATTTGAAGAGTGTTTGTGTGGAAGAATGGGCCAAAATCACACCTGAGCAATGCATGCGACTA